TATATAGTACATTATATATACTCATCTTATAATAGTACATTATATATACTTATCTTATAATAGTACATTATATATACTTATCTTATAATAGAATATTATATATACTTATCTTATAATAGTACATTATATATACTTATCTTATAATAGAATATTATATATACTTATCTTATAATAGTACATTATATATACTTATCTTATAATAGAATATTATATATACTTATCTTATAATAGTACATTATATATACTTATCTTATAATAGAATATTATATATACTTATCTTATAATAGTACATTATATATACTTATCTTATAATAGAATATTATATATACTTATCTTATAATAGTACATTATATATACTTATCTTATAATAGAATATTATATATACTTATCTTATAATAGTACATTATATATACTTATCTTATAATAGAATATTATATATACTTATCTTATAATAGTACATTATATATACTTATCTTATAATAGAATATTATATATACTTATCTTATAATAGTACATTATATATACTTATCTTATAATAGAATATTATATATATACTCATCTTATAATAGTACGTTATATATACTCATCTTATAATAGTACATTATATATACTCATCTTATAATAGTACATTATATATACTTATCTTATAATAGAATATTATATATACTTATCTTATAATAGTACATTGTATATACTTATCTTATAATAGAATATTATATATACTTGTCTTGTAGTAGTGAATAGCTGATCGATCTCTATCAGAGATAACAATGCCGTTTGCAGTAAGAGGAAACCTCACACAACTCATCATTTATTTTTTCATAATTTTATGTTATTTATTTTGTAGCATTATGGAAACATGCCGTAGATTATCAGATGGATGTTAAACAGTCTTCCGTTAGAAGGTCATCAGGGTTTCAACGTAAAAGTTCAATATATGATGATACTCCTTTAATAGGTAACTAGATTTTACATCTTTTATTCAGTCAAAATATAGAGTTAAATAATATAGCATTGGATAAGATTTTAATTAAACTTAGCAAGTTGATTGTCTAAACATTGAGCATCTAAATCTACATTAAGTCTGTTTGGCTTTGTGATTCTATATTTAGAAATTGGAAAAACAATAAGATACTAGAGCCACACGTGGGACTTTGCAAATGTAGCAAAATGCAAAAGACTCTGAAAAAATCAACCTTCTACGATAATTACATCACGTGCAAGAACAGTCTAAAGTTGAGTAGTTTTGATTCTTTGGAAGATTGTTATACCGGAAGTAGACAGACCTCACAAATGAAAGTATCAGAAGATAGCCAAGGTCAATGACATTTGACATTGAAAAGGAGACGGTCAACAAAGGTCAACGTCACGAGATACAAGTCATCAAAATTTTGAAATATATACGACTATAAAACCGGAAGTTGAGATAGGACAGCAAATATAAAAGTATAATAGATAGCCAATGTGAATGACCTTTGATCCTACAAAAGTCGGGGTCAAAATAGGTCAAGGTCAAAAATTTAAAATTTTGAATTTTCAAAACCTGTTCCTTTTTTTGAACTATAAAGCTAAAACAATCGAACTTCTAAGACAACGTGGCTCAGCAGATGAAGTAAATGTATGCAAAGTTCCATTTTGAACAAATGTATACGCTGCGAGTTATGTCCCTTGCCAAAAATGTCAATAATGAGTAATTTAACCCGGATGTACCACGCCCACCTCAATTCTTTTTGCATAGGTTAATTGATATTCTGAAATGTTATGTTGTGTTCGAAATTTAAAGCTTCTACATCATACAGGTCAAAAGATATAGGTCAACAAATGTCAATAAAGGTCAAAATAGAAAACAATTAGTAATTCAACCTGGATGTGCCACGCCCACCTCAAATTTTTTATCATAGGTTAATTGATATTCAAATTGTCTTGTTGTGTTCCGAGTTTCAATGTTGTACATCAAATAGGTCATAAGATATACATACACATAGCTCAAAGAGACACAAATATTGTAAAAAAAAACTCAAATATGAAAAATTCACGAATTTCAATTTTGCTTAAAAAACGATTGTTATATATCACTGGAAAGAGCATGAAAAGCACATTAAGAATCCGAAAAAATTAACTCTCTAGGTTAATTAGGTCACGTGCTAGAATAGTCCAAAGTTGCGAATTTGGCTGTTTTCGGACAGCTATAAAACTGGAAGTACATGTCAGAGGCCAAATGTCAAAGTATCAACTGATAGCCAAGGTCAATGACCTTTGGCCTTATAAAGGTCAAGGTTATCAAAAGTCAAGGTCACCAGATAAAAATTACATAAATTAATAAAAATTTCAACCGGAAGTTGCAAAAAAGCAAAAGCGAAATTCAAAAATCGGCTCTCACAGTTTTTTGTGAAATCGATTAAAATTTACATATACATCAAAATTACGCACATCCATCTTTACCCCGAGGCCCCATTTTGAGTTTTACAAAAGTCGGTCATATCAATATGGCAGCCAAAGTATTACTTCCGGTCCGGATTTTTTTTTCTTCGTTTTTTTGTCTTTGGTTGGGCTATCCATCAGCCTAAATTCCATTGACCTATTTCAATTACACCGGAAGTTACCAACCGGAAGTTTAAATCAATTTCCTGTCTAAACCGGAAGTAATGCAAAAAATTTGAATGTATTTTTTTGCTGACTTTAGTGAACTTTAGCAAAAAATTGCAAAATTTTTCCAAAAAATGTCTGCGACAAATTTTCGAATTTTTTAAATGCTATCATTTCAGATCTTGCGAGTAGATTTCAAAAGTGCAAACCCTAAGAAAATCAACCTAGAAATGCGACTTCTAGAGCCGATTTCCTATTTTTGCACATATTGAACTGTGGCACTTCCGGTTACACAAAAAAGTTCCAAAATATATTTATGCACATCGTCGCCTATATCTAAGGTCCGTTAATGTTGAATAGTTGCTGCAACTATTGTAGTCTGAGCTCAGGAAGGTGTGTAAATTTCAAAAAAAAAAAAAAAAAAAGCAAAGTCCCACAATAATGGATTGTATGAACTTTTCTAGTGTTACTGTACCAAGATTTTATTGTCTTAAATCTAAAAGCTAGTGTCTCACCCCTAATATCTACTGTAATTTGATTTCAGAACCCAAGAAACGAAGTAGTTTAGTAGATATCAAAGTAGAAGATGATCAACTCAATAAAATGTTAAATACATTGATGGGTGAACAAAAGGAAATACGTGGTAGTGAAACGATGCGTCAACATTCAACTAGCTAGTCCTATTATTACCATTATTATTATTATTATTTCATTGTATAGTTCTATAGTAACTTATTTCTCTCTTTATCTCAACTTTTAGTTTCTGAGACTTGACTCAGACTGTCTCAAATAACATGATTTTATTTTCAAGGGGTTTTTATTACATACAATGCAGAATTCTTAAGGATATCCAAATGCAATTTGAAAGTGCTCACAAAATTTCAGGGTCAGACAACTCTCAAATCTTATGTTTCTTTTGTTTTTGTCTTATATTTCAAGATCATGCTTTTTACACATTAACAATCAAATATTTTAAGTTGCTGCGTTTTTTTATTCATTATTGACCAACCGATTTTGATAGAGGGATTTATTTTTTGTTTTCATTTTTTTTAATACATCATAATTATTCATAATGTAAATAGAAGAAATTGATGTAAAATTGAATAAATATTACGTCAGATTTTAACATCATTAAAATTTTAGCAAGGTTAAGTTTTTAATGAAAAGCATAATTTAACATTAATGATAGTTATATAGGTCTGGCTATTTGTTAATATTGCTGTTAAATTATGTGTTTAATAATATACCTGTTAGAATCAGCTGTTAATATTTACAACTAGTTTCATCTATGTATTGTTGCCAAAAAAGAAGTTTCATGTTTAAAAATGATAAAGCTGAGGCTTACATACTTACATGTTATCTATATTATGTAAAGAGGAGTCTTTTGGTGTTTTTTTTTCATAAGCCTCATAGCCACTATGTAAGACTTAGTACCTATTTGAGAAGGTCTTGTCTAATGTATTGTGAAGATCTCAAAATGATGTTGTAACTATGGCGCCAAACCATGTTTAACAAGAATGAAAAGAATTTGAAAGGAAAATAGAATATTTCTTAGTTAATTGAATAGAAATATTATTTGAGGATTTAGCTCAGACATGGCACCAAATAAAGGTTCAAAATGACAAAACATTTTAGAAAAACATGAAATTGATCTTTATGAAAGTGTAGATATGTAAATTATGTAGTTTTAGATGGTAATAATTTTATAATGATGATTGTTAATTGTTATATAACCTAGAATTCTTCTGAGTTCTACCAGGTTTCTGATGGTTATATGAATGAAGCCTGCTTGTTATATTCTTTCAACTGATTTCAGTAGGTTAGGGGCATGGCTCAAAGGTCTTGCATTGTGGATATTTTACACTAGTGACTATCACCCCTTTAGCCTCAAAGTGAAAAAAATATTTTATTAACCATCTTACAATTGGAGGAAGTCAGAAGAATTCAACAGCTATTTTGTCAGAAACATCATAACTTTATGTAGACTAATACTGTGAATTGCTGATCTTGTTTTGTAATTGTTTGACCATTCAGAGCTCCAGTAATTATCTATATTGTATAATCTAGTTTTGATGTTTCTGACTATTTAGCACTATTTAAAATAATACTGGTATTTAAACAAAACCTGCCTTGCTCATTTCCCTACAACATTCACTAAACTCAAAATATTATACATGAATCATTTTTAGTGGGGAAAATCCACTGTTTACAAAATCATGTTCCTTCATTCATTTTTAATTTCACTCTTGGATGAAAATGCAATTTTCAAACTTCTACAGTTGGTCTTATATAATTTTCTTTTTACTCTGCTGGTCTCAATAAAAAGATATGGATTAGTTATGATTTTGTATAATGGATTAACATTTGAATGGCTTTGTTAACTCTATAACTAATATTCAAGATAAGAGTAATTCAGGTTCAGGTTTCTCTAGTCATAGGAAAGTTTTTAATTTCACATACTGTTTTGATATTGGTAACATTCTATCCTGACTAACTGCTTCAATCATTTCATTATTTGTGTATCTAACATTAAACATTGTTTAAAGCTTATCATTGAGTGTAATAGAATCTACCAAATATGTTTTGTCAATATTGTTTATTTTGACAATAAAAAATTCGAAAAAGTTGTTTCTTTGTTATTATATTGTTATTATAGCCCATTGTAATTGATTGTCAAGAAACAGATCATATTGTGTACACGAGTCGTGTGAAACTTATGATTCTCTATATATGAGAAGTTAATGAACACACCCCCTTGTTTACAATCAAAATGGACACAATTCCTTCCGCCCACCATATTTTCATTACTGCAGTCCAATCAGACTCCTATCTGTTAACTATTATCTGTGGTCAGTTACAAGCCTGACGATGATGTAAACATTACCTATGTTGAGAAGCTTGGGTTGTACATGTTGTAAAAATGGTTAACCACTAAAGGAGAAATAACACCAAAAATTTCATCATTTATTTTTTGGGGCTTGCACTTTGTTGGACACACATATCATATATCACTAAAGCCCAATTATCAGTAAGTTTCCATTTTACCATATTAGCCTTAACATTAATAAACACTCCTTTAATTCTGCGCCAGTGAGTTCTGTTGAATGACAACTTCAACCACCCTAATCTCTAGTCTCCGATCCCAATTAAATCAGCAGAAGATCAAACACCATAGTATTAAAGAGATATCACAAAATAATTATTGGCTTTACTAGCCTACTACTATACAAAATTTGACAGGTTGGAAATCATGTGTTTGGTTATAATTGACAATATCAGAAAACTGGTTTTATTAATTTAATTTCAATTTAATTGCATTGTCAACAGAATTCCATATACATGTATATTGAGAATCTAAAGATCTTTATGATAAATTAAGCAATATGGTACATGCAAGTATACTCAATTAAAAGGCAATCTAATATACAGAGCTTTCCTCAACAATTATGACGTTCTGGAGGGAAGCAAACGCAAAAGACTAATATTAGACTGCAGGTATATAATATCGAATAACTAAATGCAAGACGTAGATCTAAATAGAGTTAAACTGGAAAATAAATGATTTATCATTTCTCCGATGTTTCATCAAAGGACTTTTGAAGGGAATTATAAAAAGAAAAAACCTTAATGATGGACGAGTAATAATCATAATTCATCACTTGTGATGTTTTCTTTAAAAGAAAAAGAGTTTATTTTAATTTATACCTGATAAATGATATTTTATTTCGAAGACATGCAACATATTTTCGTTTTCATTTACATATATCTTTCAAGAAAAAATTTTTCGGAGCCAATGGCTGCTTCGGGTTACAAAAAAATCAAGTAGAAAACAAAAGATTTTCCTGGTAATGTAATGTCTCCAGTTTTATAGGAAACATGTTATTTAATTGATTTGAAATTAGGCCTACTAGCAAAATTGTGTGATCACTAGAATACTCTTTGGTCTGTTTTTCATGAACTGATGAATTTGTGTCTGTGATTTGCAAACTTCAGACGTGATATGCCAGACATATCATATGCCTCATAGTTATTGGATATTATATTTCTATCACAGTTATTGAATGCTTTGGCATTAGTTACTAATATTTTTGATCAGCCAAGATAACACAACACTCACAACACTTCAGTTAGTCTGAAGTTCCTTGTTGAAATAGTAGGGCCTACTTTAATTCTGCCGTGAAAGTGGTCAGAATGCCCTCAGATATTTTGAAATCAACCTATGAATGTATTTTAAGGATATTATTTTAGATCCGGTTTAAGCCAAAGAAAACTAGTCAAAATGTCTGAAGGAAGCAGTACCGGTAGTAGTGGTGAGGAAGAAGAGGTTGAATATCTGGCAAAGACCAGAGAAAAACGTAGCAATGCTGGCAGTAAAATGGCTAAATTACTGAATGATGAAGAGGAAGATGAATTTTATCAAACAACTTATGGTGGTTTTAATGAGGTAAACCTCCAAGACAATATATAGATGCAGATGAACATTTCATAAAGATTTTATCTTCAAAATAAGCTAATTTGGGTGTTGAAATTTCAAATATTCTTCAAAGACTGCCATCTACGGAGCCCCTAAGGCGCAATTGTAATCATATTTATTTATTATTTCGTTTAAACGAAATACAAAGATGGGTTAATTAATTTATTTCAACGAAATAGACGAAAAAATTAATTCGTTTAAACGAATTAATAATAAAAAGTGTTGAAAATTGCACTTAAGGGGCTCCGTAGCCATCTGACGGAGATAGAGGCTCAACAGTAATATAAGAACTGTTTCCCTGGAATGGAAATTGGGAGTAACCACTCCATGCCTTAAAAGGTTCTGCATTATGTGCAGGTTTTGGTTTTATGCTGTCTTAGATATTTATCATAATAATTGTGATCTGTTTCAGGAAGGTGAAGATATAGATTATGATTCTAACAAGTCTGATTCTGATGATATGATTGATTCTGATTTTGATATTGATGAGAATGATGAAGTTAAAAGTGATATGGAAGATGATGAACCGAAGAAAAAGAAAACTACTACTGGTGTTTATAAGGTACCAGTATATACAATTTGGTGGATTACATATAGAACCCATTTTCAACAAATTTTAAGGAATATTGATTGACTACTGTATTAAATTAGTACACACAGAAATGTACTATTTACTTAACTCTAAGCTAATACAGTACAATGATTCTTTTTAGTTTTTGAAGAATACAATGTAAGCTTATACTTGAATAATAACTTGTTACCTTTCAACCTCCCTAACCTCTAGCCATTAATATCCCTATATATTTCTAAACTGATTTTTCAAGGAACCTAAAGAAAAGAAGCCAGCTAAGCCCCAAGAAAAGAAATCTGAAGTTAAGAAAGAAAAGAAGGAACCTAAACCTAAAGCTGAGAGATCATCTATACAGATTTATCAAACTTCACCCTGTAAGTAAAAATGAGTACTGGTATGGTAGTAAATTTTAAGAATTTAGTAAAACATGAAATATTGAATGAAATGTTGGCAGATTTAATGTTTAAAATGATCCATGCTACTGGTACTTATTCTTTGATGAACTTGATAATAAAAACATTTAAACAGTTTAATTGACATAATTATATAAAAGCCTACGAGCAAATATCTTTGATTTACATTAGAAATAAACAAGCTTTTTCTTTCTCCAGTTTTTAGACATTATCCTTTAGTGATATAGTCAATTCTCTGGTTTGCATAGTTGTTGACGTATCTGTAGATGAATCTCATCATGTCTATATGTTCATTTTTTTGTTATCTTCAGTAATGGAAAGAAAATCAAGACGAGCTGCCACAGCAGTAAAATCTCAGGCTACAGCTAAGAGAGAAAAACAAAGGGAAGAAAAGAGTAAAATGATGAAGGAAATGGCAGCAAGAAAAAATGTGCCTGAAGTAAGAAGGTTGACGCAGGAAGAATTATTAGCTGAAGCTAAAAGAACAGAAAAAGAAAATTTAAAGAGCTTAGGTAAGACAGACTCTAGATTTTTAAAAATAAAAATGCAAGATAAGAAAAGCATCAACCAGGGTTCAAATATAACTGCAGTTAAGATCACATCTTAGTTTGATAGCTAAGTGATAATGTTTTTAACATCATTAAATCTCATCATTATTATTTTTTCTCAGAAAACTACTATAAACTGGAATTGGAGAAGAAAAAAAGTAAAATACAGAAACAAGTGTTTAAAGGACCTATTATAAGATATCAGTCTGTTATTATGCCTAATTTAGAAGATTATGAACCGGATATTATTGTGGATGGGGAAGGGTAAGAAGTTAATGCAAGGCTTTCATTGACCATTCTTACAAATATGATACCATTTGTGAACAGAAATCTTCAAGAATCATTTGATTTGGTGTGTGCTGAATGTACCCAACTTTTCAGTTAAATTAGAATAATTTGTAATAGAAATACAATGCTTATCTCTATAAATAAGACAATTATTATTGGTACTTTCAATGTGATTCTCACACCCTCATCATAATATAATGAATTTATACTGATTTGTTTCATTCTTAATTTCAGATCAAATGAAGCAGTAAAGAAATTAGAAGATATGGAAACTGATGATAAATGTTCTAGAACTTTTATAACTTTTACAGAAGATCATGTCTACCATGATTTTTTCCCTCAGAAAAAACAAAAACCAGTTCAAAAACAAATTTGTCCAGTGACTAAATTACCAGCTAAATATTTTGACCCTATAACCCAAACTCCTTATGCTACATTATATGCCTTTAAATGTATTCGTGAAGCTTATGCTCAACAATGTGAAGTGGCTCATAAACGAACCAAATCTGCTCCAGAACCAAAGACAAATAATACAGTTGCTGCTAATGGATGAAAATGTATTTGTGTGCAGTTACGGAACCTATTACTAGTGTTGAGAAAGTTTGAATTGAGATTGTTTGAAATGATTCACCTCTAATAGAAAATATTTGTTCCATGTGAATTCATATTGATGTGGAGAGCCATGATGAATGGTTTTTATGATTTTATTATACGCCCACATTATAATGTGGTAGCAGTCAACATCAGGTCTGATAATATCATCTATTTTTCTATGTTTAAAACCTAGACTGTATGGAGTAAAGATTTGAAAATGTCCCTGTATGTGGCTACTTATTACAGCCAACAAAACTTAACCCTGAACTCACTGCCAAGTTGACAGAATGTACAAAATAAAAACAAATTACTCAGCAAACTTGAAGTTGTTTTATTATGAAATAAAAAGTGATGAGAAAAAAACGAATATCAAGAGGAATATTCTATAAACTGTGGTTGAACTTTGGCAACTTTTCTGAATTCTTCTGATAAAGTTTTAGTACATTGCATTTTACACCAACTTATAGGAACCATAGTACCACCTGAAAATATAGCAAGTTTCAACTATATTACTATTATTTGTGGTAACTTGATAATGGTTTTATCATTGTGACTAGATGTTTATTTGGCTGTATTTGACAGTCATGTTGAACAAGAGTATAAAAAAATAACAGCAACTAAGAAAGTGAATTGTTTGATTTTTATCATCCACGCGACTAAGTGTAAAATCTCCGCATCAGATATTTTACTACATTTTTCTTGCCAAGATTATGAATTAGAAACAAAACTTTATTATACCTGTTTCACTAGTTGCTATGACAACTCCTAATTCATTTTCACTGGTACTCAGTAAATAAGATTGTGCATCACCTAAAGATAACTGATAAACATTTGTCAAGGAAGATAATTCTTGATCACAATGGAGTAAATACAACTCGAGACAGAGTGTGATTCTAAATATTGTTTTTTAAAGGATACAACTTGAGCTGCTATGATATCACCAGGTCTAAAACATTTATACATTTCAACCTTGTCTTTTTCTGTTGCTCTCACATCTTCTTTTCTGTAAATTACAAAGAAAATTAAAGAGACAATTGCACCATATTGGGAGTTTGATTTGAGTCGTGAATATATGTAAATAGTCTGGAGAAGTACTAGAAAAATACAAATATATCTCAAACTATGAATGTCTTCTATTTCTATAGATGTCTTTTCTATAAATTGCAGTGTCTTAATAAAAGAGGATTCGTCTTTTAAACGTAGATAATTCTGGAAACACATGGATTTGAAGGCTCAAACTTATGAACTGAACATGGAATTGTGTGTTTCTGAATAATATTTCTTCTAAAATTCTACCTTGACAGATTCAAAATATATTTTTCAGCCTTTTTATGTGTATTTGCATACTGATATCATAATCTGATAAAGTATTACTTGAATGGGGTGGATAATAGTACAGGAACTATAAGAACCTTATCTAGGAAATATGTTTGAACCACATAGCAGCATGCCTCCTACCTACCTCAAAGTTCCACGAAAGGGTTCTTGTAATTTGGTTTTGCCAATACTCAAAATAGAACATTTACAAAATCTGGCATTTACATTGGTGACCTAAAAATACAACAAAATAGTAAAAGGTTCTCTCATAGAAAACTCATAAATTATGTTTTATAATTACAAGTCTACATGTATACTTTATCAATACAATGCAATCAAGATCATTAATAATCTTAAAAATAATATATGTTTAAAGAGAACCAACCCTGGCAGTAACTATATCATCTTCACTAGGAACTACGTTTTGTGTTTTGGATGATCTGACTTCAACAATTGTCTGAAAAAAAATGCAACAAAAAAGATGACCTAAGATCCATTTAAATTTGTGCATCATCATTCAAGAAATGTTAATTCTGTGACCCCTAAAGCAGATAAGCATAAGATAAACATACTTTGTTAATGTGAAAAATGATTGATTTTAGCTACTTTCATTTTTAGTATTAAAACTAACTAAACTCAACAATTTTTACCTTTCCATCATCATTAGTCTGAGTAAAAACATAACCAACTAAAGTAGAATATATATAACCATTTCTTGTATAAGTTCCATTTCCACTGATATGATCATCATCTGTTCTCAATATACGCTGACCTTCAAAGATAAATATAACATAGTACCAAACAAGAACAAGTCCAACACAAGAGTCGTTTTTGTCACCTGATTCGATTAGGTTTCGATTTGCTAGTACGATTAGGTTCGATTTGCAGTGGCCCACAAATGTGATACCAGCGATTAGGCAATATAGCTGACTGCACTATCAACAAAAGGTTGTCTATTAATATTAGCCAATGACATCTATGTTTATATAGACAACATTGATCAAATTAGCCAATAGTAAAAATTACCAATGACGTGACACCTAATCGAATCGCCTAACCACCTCATTGCAGTAATTGACGGTTAGGTCGATTAGCCCAATCAGTTTAGGTAAACTGTCTCACAAATGCACCGATTAGCCTACACGTCCTGGCTCACAAATGTACAAAATAGCTAATCTACCTAATCAATCGTGCGACAAAAACGACTAAGGGGTCCGGTTTTCAAAGTGTGTCGTACCACATAGAATAATTACAAAAATCACAAGATGTTTAGTGAATTGTCAAAGATTTAGAATATATTTAAGTCCATAGAGATATAAGGTCGGATTGTAATAAAATAAAAACTTATAAAATGCAATTAGTGGCATGTAAATCTTTAAGAAGGAATTAATAAAATTACCGGGCACACAAATCGTGGAAGTTGCCATCTTTGATTTGTCACGTGATTGGATCTAACTCATTCCTTATTATAGGTAGTTCGGATATATGAAGATAATACAATATGTCTTATATTGTAAATTACTGCAATGAAGTGGTTTGTGTTCACTAAATATTGAATTCTTATAATAAAGAATATGATGATATGGAAATATTTTGACTGATATGAAAGTTGTAGAAAAATGGGTATTCTATATCCCCTATTTGATAATCAGCTGCCCTTACTTCCGGTGTAAATAAACATGGCGGATAAAATAGATTTTTCAGAAGTAAGATTCGTTTCTGAATAGAATTATGGCTATAACTCAGTTTCTTAAATAACATGTAAGAACAGTTCATGTTCATTAGAAGCACTCAGTGTCGAATCATTACTCATTAGAACTTAGAAGTGACTTTTCCATACCGTACAGTTCATATTCTTTTAGGCTAATGGCTATGTCGAAAAAATTCATATTGTTTTATTAATAAAATTAATTCTTTTTCTTTTGAAAAGGTTCATAATCTTGGTGGGTATGGGTCAGAATTTGATTCGGAGGCTGAGTCAAGTCGGAGAAGGTAAGCTATTATTAGCCTATTTTTAATCCACTGGCAATGACATGGCACATTGGATAATAATATCATTGTAGAGAATTTGCCATATAGGTATTTCTATATTGATTGATGTAATGTTGTTTTTTGTAACAGAGACAAAGTTTAGATATTGTAATAATAACCACACCAGTCATAAAGAGACCAAAGCTACATTGATAGCCTATGATATTATTTTTATCTTTCCGTTTTATAGAAGTGAAGAATTTAAAGGATTACAAAAGAAGAGAAAAAGAACAACAGATGGTGTTGCCAATAAAAGAGAAGTTGAAGAAGAATATAGCAAGTGAGAGCTTTAATCCTGTAGTTTCATTTGGAATGTGAAGTTGAATGTATTGTAAAAGCTATAGGCCTACTACATAACCATAACCAAGAAAAATATCAAATAGCATTACAGTCATTTTCATCTTACTTAAAGTTTCTGAAGTTATGTATATATATATTGGTTTTTTCATTCCAGAGAAGAGGGGAAGATACAGAGAAACCACATATTAAGCTTAGATGCTGTATCCTTTACATTAACGAAATATCATATTGAACCTGCTTAAATATTTTATCAGAAATATTTTTATTTCTATATTGCTTTACAATTGATGTAATGAGCACTATTTAACAGTGATCTTGTTAACGATATTTTTTTATTGTAAATAGTCTAAAGTGAGGGTCAGGAATGAAATTATTTGTAATAATAATCCAATGACCTTCAATATAATTGTTCCTTTGACTGAATCAGTATGCTAGACATAAACAATTTGTAAATAATTATTTGTTATATTATGGTGGTAAAGCTACTGAATTCAAAAGAGACAGGTATGGTTTATAAGATATTGTGTTTGAATTTTTCTATTGAATAACAAGAGATAAGTTAGAAAATTGTTATTATTTTGTGCATAGCAAGACATTGTCATAAGTCATGTATTCCATAAAATCCGTTCCTATTTGATTCATAATGATTTATAGCAAAAAACTCAAGAAGTTGCCATGGCCCAAGAAACAGAAATGTTATATAACTGGGTTGGTTGCCAATAAACCAAAAGACCATTAACAGTGAACAGTCAGTCGAAGTAAAACGTGCACTTTAATTAACATCTGTGATTAAATGTTTGATATTTTTAGCTCTCGAGATAAAAGAGATATAGATGTTATCAGAGAAAATCATCAGTTTTTATGGGACGAAGAAGATGATAACTCAGACTCTACTTGGTAATGCTATGATCTATATTATATTTGTTGCACAATACTAGAATTTTTGTTGATAAGCTATTAGAATATCCTCCAGTAATAAGTTAAAGGTGTAGTTGAAACTGAGGTTAAATTGACTTGACTTAAATAGTTGAATTTAGAAAAAGGCCAGACCACGTATTCTCGAAATGATCTTAGTGTTAGGCTGAGAATATTATAGCCTTTATAAAAATTTGACTTATTAAGTCCAGTTAGAGATTCAAAATGGCTGTGAAGTACATTCGTGTTTGGTATTTCCATGTAAGAACCATACGTAGTTTTGTATGGCAATATACTTTGCTTTAATTTCCAATTGTAAATGGATCGTTATCTGTACAGCCTGTAACACACAGGTTCTCTGTTTATTGTCTAATCAATACAATCTGTTCGAATTAGGGTTTAAAACGTGTAGAACGTATAATCTCAAGGCGTTTTCGTTGGCCGATTTAATAGATTATCTATTTTGTGCATTTGTGCGGCAGGAAGTTTAGGCTTATTGATACATTTGTGAGAAAGTTTACCTAAACCGATTAGGTTAATCATCATATTTTTTAGGGAGAAACGTTTAGCTAAGAAGTACTATGATAAATTATTTAAAGAATATTGTATAGCTGATTTATCAAGATATAAAGAAAATAAGGTACTGTATATAAAGTGTATAAAGTAGTTCATTCCATCTTGAGTTGCCAGAACTGATGGTCGAAATTCACTTTTGTATTAGCTGCAAATCAAACTTATGTTTACTGTAAGATAAATTGTCTTATCAGGAAGTTAGATTCTCAAGATCAATTCGAAAATCTTTTATTTGATAACAATATGATCTTAATTCATTTTAGTTTGGTATGAGATGGAGGGTAGAAAAGGAAGTATTTGAAGGAAAAGGTAAGCTTCTAGATTTTATTTTGGACAGTATTGCCAAAAACCAGTTGTGACGACTGTAAACAATTACTTTCTGAGAAAACTATGGTGTACCAGTACTTTTAACACTTTCAGGTCAGTTTATTTGTGGTAGTAAGAAATGTAATGAAAGAGATGGTTTAAGAAGTTGGGAAGTTAATTTCGGGTATATTGAACATGGTGAAAAGAAAAATGCTTTAGTTAAATTACGTAAGTTAATAAGACGCTCTCATATTAAACAAATATTTAAAAGTTTTATTGATATTTTTTGTATAAATGTGATTTTGTTATTGGTGACTGCAGCTTAGTTTGTATTAAAAAGATTTGAAGGAGGCTTTTTATACACCTGCATTATAAAATGTAAATTCCAAATAAAAATGAGAGTTGAACAAAACCAATCATGAAAATGGTTAATGGTGATCTCTGTTGTAAAAAACTATGATGCTTTGACAGGATGAAGATATGAGGCTTTGAATAATAAAACTTCTGTCAAAATAAACCATTTATTCCTCCAATGTTTTATGTGCCTAAAAACACACTTCCTCAGGAAGTCCAAAAGTAAATGACTGTTTCAATAATGTGGTCATATATTGTCATTTGGGTGTCATTATGAAGATGATCTCTATCGATTTTAGTGATGATCTGATAATTTTTCACTGAAATATTGTGTCCAACTTTCTCTCTATTAGCTATATTATGCAACTCGTGCTCACTTGACAGGCTACAATTCTTTATGGATTGTTTTGCATTTTATATTGTGGATCAGTGTCATTATGAAGATGATCCCTATCAATTTCTGTCCGTCTTGTTTCTTGTTCACAATAGCACAATAGAGGCTACAGCTTTTATCTGATCTTGATGAAACTTGGTGAGCCTGTATATATTGATGGGATCTCAGTAAAGCTTGAAATTAGCCTTTTTCACTCTATTAGCTATATTGTGCAATTTGCGCTCACTCTGCAGGCTAAAATTCTTTATGGATTCTTTTGCTTTTTGTTTTGTGGGTCAATGTCATTATGAAGATGATCTTTATTGATTTTCGTGATGATCTTATAATTTTTCACCAAAATGTTGTTTACAACTTAGTGTATTCACTCTATTACTTTTGCTCACTCTTCAAGCAACAATTATTTTGATTTTTATATGCATATTGCAATCAAAGCTGCTGGTGGGTGTCTGTCACCATGCTTCAAAAGGCTATCTTTATGTTTATATTAGGAACATTTGTGTCTTGTTTCTGCTCAATAAGATAACAACACCTCTTGCGAATCTATTTAAAATTTTCAATGGTAGATCCTGTAATTCTAGTTTAATCTTAAGATTCATTGTTTTATTTAAGGCTAGAGGTTAAGTATAAATTTTCATGGAAGGTGTTAATTTTTTATTTAAGGTTTATGTTCAGATTGTTCATATAAATTAAATTATCATCATAAGTAAGTAATATTTTATACCGGTAAATCTTTTTGTCATTTTTTATACGTCCACATCTCTCTATGTGAACATATATTGTTGGCTTCCCTGTCCATCAGTCCGTCAACATTTGCTTGTAAACGCTCTAAAACGCTCGATTTTTTGATTGAATCAAATGAAATTCGGTATGTGTATACATATTCATAAAACGAAGATCATGTTCGAATTTGAGATATTTTCGACCGTTAGAAGCAGAGTTATTGCCCTTGCCCCAAAATCTTGAATATGCTATTACTCTCTTAGTTTTCAACCGTTTTTGATGAAACTTAAAATATGCTTTTATTAGGGTTATTTTAAACAAACTTTCAACAGCATTGAAGTCTTTCATAATGATTTTATACATGCAGAAAGAAAGAAATTATACCCAAGAAATCTAAAATTAGTACAGATGAAAAAAGATCTAAAAAGCAGAAAAAACATGAAAGAAAACATAAAAGAGACAGATATGGTAAGTAATTAAGTTATTGATTGAGTACAACTTCAATGCAGGTAATGTCTAATGTACAGATAAATAGATTGATAGCAGTCAAAGGATAGCAGTCAAAGGAGTAGAGAACAAAGGTCCTTGATATGTCAACCTTCCTTTCTCATAAAAAATAATGACTCTTTCACAGAATCAATATTAGAAAACTAAATATAGCTTTTCTTATTGGATATTGCATTATAAGTTGATTTTAGTTATGTTTTAAGATTTTCAAGTGTTCATTTATAAATATTGGACTTTAAATCTGAGAATTGTTGAATTGATGTTTTAATTGCTACTTCAGATGAAAGTAAATCAGATAAAAATAGTAACACTGAAGAGGAAGAAGAAGATTCTAATAATAAAAGTAAAGAAAGTGTAGAAGAAAAAGCTGAAGATTCAGTATGGAGTGGACCTGTGAAATTAACAGAAGAAAAATCTAGGTATTTACCAGTCGTAATCTTTTTATTTAGTTAGTCAATTAAGGTTTCACTGGTACAATGAACCATGCTGTGAAGCCATTAAATTATTTTGTCTTTTTCCTTTTAGAAACCTTTCAGATAAATGAGAATTAGGGCAATAAGAATTTTGTTTTGAAATACATATATACATCTTTGTTTAATGTTTTAGGGAAGAAGAATTTGATTCCTTTTTTGAAGAAATGTTTTTATGATACAGTTCCTATCACTATGGACTATGGTATGTTGTCTATTTGGAGTTAAATGACATATCTTTTGTGTGTCAAACATATTGGAATCTGTGAAAATGACTATTTTTTAATTCTTTTAAAGCATGTACTGTTTTAAATCAGAATTAAATGGCTCAACACCATTACATGTTTTTCATAGAAAGTCATCATACAAAAAATGTTCAATTGCTGAATTCTGTATTTCTAGTTCTGTCTTTATTAGTGTGGTGTCAGGAGCTATTCTATCTGACTGTGAGTTTCTTACAATTAACCTAAATAACATGAGTTATTGTCAACTTGGAACTTTCGATAAGTTTCCATACTCTTGTAATACAACTGTTATAATATTTTGAAATAAAAAGAAAAACATTTGTAACAAATTTATTATAGTTTGTGTCATCATATATAGTGCTTAGCACAGATTCATTAACAATAGAGAAATATCACAATTAATAATAATATAACAGACAAATTAAACATCTTTCATTGTGTTATATAGGGTTTCGATTTATCATTCTTATATATACTTGCATATTTTAGTCTATCAAAGGGAGAACTTCTTCTTCAGCCTTTGGTTTTGAAAATTTTCGCCAACTTTTTGTAATTAAACAAGTTTGTGCTCAATCATTGTATATAGATTCATATTAGGTACTCAAACTCTCACATTTTTATCTTTTGAGACATGAAAAAAATTGATTGAAGAAACAAACAGAAAATAACAGCATTAATCTACGGAGCCCCTAAGGCGCAATTGTAAACATATTTATTTATTATTTCGTTTAAACGAAATAATTATTTCGTTTTAACGAAATAATTAATTCGTTTAAACGAAATAATTACTTCGTTTAATCGATTACTTCAAACGAATTAATTATTTCGTTTAAACGAAATAATAAATAAATATGTTTACAATTGCGCCTTAGGGGCTCCGTATTAATCACATATAAAGTCAATAAGATTACATTTTATATCCACGAAACAATATTATGCTCAGATCACTAGTTTAAACTTCATGTGAGATTCTGATGTAAGTGCACTCACAACATTTCATTACAATACATAATATACATAATATTATAATAATAAAAAATAATTGTAATCACAAAGATATGTGCCATATATTACTTTTCATCAAGTGTAAGACAGTTATATTGACATGGTTTTTTTTTTACCTACGTACAATATATCTATATACAGAAAATAAGTTAAAAACAACAAGTAATGATATTCATAAATAATAGATATAAATTTGTACAGATCTAACTATATCATCACAATAATATCCTCATATATAAGAATGAAATATAGTAATACACAAAATAGTAAAAATAACTTAGGCTGTCATTTTGAGAAAATGTTGTCCACAGATCAAATATTAGAAAAACATATGGGTAAACAACACTTATTCCAATTTTAGTGTGTTGTTAAATCAGATTTAATGAATTAATCAACTGTTAATTCAAAATGAGTGTTATTGTTTTTTGAGTATTCAATGAACAAAGGAAAATCTTAGTTTTGATTTGAATACATTAATTGAGTCCAGAAGCAAACTATAATTGGAATTAGTATATCCTCTAATAATTTTACAACAACTTTATTTCAAATTTCTTATTGCACATGATAAGAAGTTACAGAAGAGTATATTTAAAGAAGTGTTTGATAATGATCCAAGTACTGATTGCTCTAATCCTTTTCTACAATTAGATGTAAATGTATTGAGCTTATAGTCCTCATTGATACAGCATTGTCCAAAAATATTAGATTGCTGTATACAGAGTATTCAACTATATAGTAAACATTAGTAAAGTTACTAATAAATATCACAGTAATAATATCATATATAACTAAATAAACTTCATGTTATATTACAAAATCCACTCTTCTGTTTCCCCTTCTGTTTATTATGTTGTTTATATGGTGACGAAGGTGGAAGATGACTAGATTCTTGTTTATCTAATTCAGGTTTCTGAAAATATAATCAAAAGTTTGTTTGGTATATTAATTAGTGATGCATAAAATAACAGCTTAAATATAGTTTTGGTTGACTAATTAGGATTTGTCATACAACCCAAAGAATTGTATGTAATAAAAAATATTTTGGAAAACTTAATAATCTATGATTGAAAGTCTTTATGAATATTATGCTTATGTGGACAAACCCACGAAATTTGGTAGTCAAGAAAGTAAACAATTTCACAGAATACTATTATAGATCGTAATAGCAAGAAATAGAGGCTATTATAATATAGAGTTCTTGATTCCTAGTCTAGACATCTATTAGTTGTTAATTGAGTCAAATGTATCAAACCAGTTTATGGTTATATTACAATATTAGTTATTGATTAAATAGCTTCTATACTTATTATTATCAAATCTTCTATGATATGACAACATTTAGTTTACATGCCAAGTTCCTTTGGGCTTTCAACCTTTTACTTCAGAATTATGTCTAATTTAAAGATGTGGTAAACTTTAACGTAATTGGAATGTAAATGAAATATATATAATAATAACAACAATAATATTAACTTTATTAGAAACCCAGTTGCACAAGGCAATCTTCCCTGGGATCTTTCTGTATAAAGCTACAATAACATTTTTAACAAAATGATACCTGTACCTTAGTACGAGATGGTTGTTCTATTGTACCATTTGTTGTCAACATCGTTTTATTTACATTCGCTTTATTTACATCATTTACAATAGTTTCTTTCTGAGTTTCTTTTTCATTCTTAGTTTCATTTTCTTTTTTTGGTTCATTATCTTTCTTGGGTTCTTTTTCAATAGGTTTTTTTTCTTCTAACTTTTGTTCTTTTGGTTTGGCTACAACAAGTTAAAATATCATTGATCAATGTAGAAAATAGGTTTGGTAAAAATAACTAATATTGATAGGAAACTTCTTATTGGTAAATGGCTTACAATACTAATTGTATTGTTCTTACTTGGAAATAACAAACAAAAACGTAGTTCATAGCCATTTTGAATCTCTAACTCGACTTCACAAGACAAATTTTTAAAAAGGTTATAATATTTCATCTAAGCTTTTGGATCACATTTAAAGGTTGAGGAGTGGCTTAGATTGTGATTTGACGACTTTTTTGAAATATTGTAGCTTTTTTAAAAATTTGTCTTAAGTTGAGGTAGGCACTAATTAATATATTAATGACATTAGAGCCTCTTTGAAAAGCTGGAGTATGAGATTTCTTTATCATGCATACAGCATGCAACAAATTCTTCAATTTAATGTTATATTTGGAAAATATTCCTTTGAAATAAGTCTCTTTTACTTTTTATAAAATTTGTTTGAAATTTTTAAGCAAGCATAAATGAAATAAGGTTATATATTGATATATATATACATGTAGTATTTAATGAAGAAAAAAACACATTACATATCACAACAAATAAACTTTCATTAAAAATTATTTCATATTGGTTATAAACATACTTTATGAAACATAATAAAATACAGGGTAAAAAATAGAAAAATTTAGTATATATATGGGAGATATATGTAAGTTAGTATTGTCATGCAGGGTAAAAATATAAATAAATTATATATTGGGACAGAATATATCTAGACCTCATTAGCACCACCTTGTTCCTTGGTCTCTTTATCCAGGTCATCCCAATGGGCACGGTTCTGTAAACACCCATTGTATAATGGTTCCAGTTTTGGATTCATATCAGCAAATAACTGTTAAAGAAAGTCATAGAACAACATCAAAACAAATTAGAGCCACAATTTAACATTGAAAATATAACACTATTCCCTACAATAAACATTTAATTACCAGATTATGTTAAAGCAATAATGTATAGTCTGTTAAAGCACAAATTCATCTCAGAAAGCTTCAAAACATTAATAAGAATAGTCTACTATATTCCCTGGTAAAAAATGAAGAACCAGATGGCGTCGATTACCACTTATAACACCTCAGATAAAAGTAACCTGTTCTTAACTTGTGTGGAAACATTCCTGGATGGGCATCATATAACAAACTATACATCTATTCTAGATTAACAAAGCACCATAGAGAGCAACTGGACATGGTGCTTTACCATATTTATTGAAACAACAAGATTGTGTAAAACATATAACAGTACATTCATAACCTACTCTTCAAATACGATTTTACAAATTCAAATCAATATAATTCCACCCTTTCTGTTTTATTTAAAAAAAAAATTTATCTGAAACTTTTGTACTTGAAGAGTGGTTCATCTGAGAAAAGGCTACATTGAAAGTGAATGAATTACATAATGACTGAACATTCATATCACCTAACCAGAACTTTCTTCCTTATTTTCTGTCATTGATTGCCAGTTATTACGATTTGTAAGGCAACCCATATACAGTGGCTCCAATCTAGGCCAAATTTCAGCAAATGTCTTAAAAAGGGTGTAAAAATGTTATGATACAGATTAATGTCCAACTACTATTGTCATAGTTTGACAGTTGGTAGTGTCTTTTAAAGATGTTATTTTGTGCTTGTGATCATTCCACTAGACATCTGTGATCTGAGGATAGTGTTGTTCACCAAGAGTATTGTGTCACTTATATATACAACCAATCAAATGCTCCGTTTAGTAAGAACTTTGTCTATCATCTGTGTGAAATTCTGTTATATTCATCGTCATACATAACTTTGTATTGTCAACGCAAATTTGTAACAAAAATTTTAAATTTTTGTCCATGGCCAAAAGAGGCGTATAAGTCTGTTAATTGATAAAATCTTTTAAAAATTGACGTTCTGTTTAAACTTATTTGTCAAAGTGTTTTCCATAGTAAAACGTTTTAACATTCTAATTGATGCACTCTTATCATTAAGAAAAAAATTGATCTGTCAGACGAAGCACCTAGTCTTGGCTTCAAACAGCATGTTAAATGCATATAAACATTTCCATTGAGACTACATAAGACATTTTGAAAAGGAAGAAAGAAGAAAGACTCTCAGTCTCAGTTGTAAATAAAAAATTTGTGATTCTAATCGGTTTACAAGCCCATGGGGTCTCATTTATTTCTACTTAACATTTTTAGTATTTTTACTATTCTGTTATTCACTCCACAAGTTATTAGTGGATAGCACAGAAATTGTACTAAAAGAGCTGGATCAACTCAAGTGTTGTATTTTTTATATGCACACATGTAATATCGCTTATCTGATTTGGATGACAATGTTAACTGCCAGTAGATGAAAACAAAAGCATTTGAAATATCAAAACAGAACGTGTATTAATTCATTGATCTGAAACATTCTATATCACAAAATATTGATTTATTTTTACAGTATAAAGATTTCATACAAAAATTGAATTATTAATGGTATAATATCATAAACAACTTACAAGTTTAGCCTGGATTCAGTAATCAAAACCTACCTTATATACTGGTAAACATATAGCATCAATAAATCCAACTTGCATTTTTGGTAAATCATCCTTTTTATCTCTGTCCATCATTGGCTGCATGAAAAATTGGAGAATATAAAAAGTTTTTTCTAAAAAAAACTATATCTAATAATCTTCTAGTTAATATTTCACATAAGAGTTTTAGTTTAAGTGTTTGAATATGGATGTGTTGCTGCTGATGCTAACAGAAAGTGTAACCTTACCATAGGTTTTTCTCCCAGTTGTGTTTTCTCCAAATCACCCTGCTCAAAGAATTCATTGGCTACAAGTTGGGCAACTTGTTGTTGAACTTCCCATGGTTTGGTTATAGCAGCAACATCACATGCTGTCATCATCATTGCTCTGAAATAAATCAACATTGATGACTTGGTAGGGTTGTTATTTGAATAGGGGCTCTCCCCCAAGTAATTTTTTGAAAACTATAAACCCAGAGAGCACAGTTTTGACGATTCAGAGGTGTAAAAATTTCCATCAATGCATTCATCTTTTAGGTTTAAGAGATCAATAATTCAAGTTTAAAAACTTTTTAGCCTGGAAAATTTAGTTTAGGCGAATCCAAACACATTTGATATACAATATCAAATTATGATGTAATTTTGCTAACACATGAGTAAAATCGGAAAGAATGTCTTTGACCCCAAGGGAAGTACTTCGCCACCAAAGCTGGGTTTGCGACCAAGAGGTTTGGTACCCAGGATTTGGATGGTTGAGCAATAAGTTTGTAATGTAGTGTATTTTTGAAGTTTGATCATAGTTTATTGATGATTAACAGGGGTTTCTGATTGATTTACTGTTGGTTTTGAATTTGATAGGTTACATATTAAGATTATACAATGTAATGAATTAAGGAATGTCACCTTTATTTGGTTGTTGACTCACTTGACATTCAGCAAAACTGAATAAGTGCTTGATAGCCAGACAAATACATTGAATAATCACTTTCTGAAGGCATATCATTTCATTCTGGATTGAACCTTATGGCAGATAGCATGTAGTGTTTATTTATTATTTTCTAGTTCATGTCATAAGGTAAATTAGAATGCCAGTAGCTATGATACATGTGATCTGATTGTAGAATATGTTATTTGTCACTCTATTACATTTTAAAGATCATATTACCTAGGAGTAATTGATTATATCTGTAGGCCTTCAGTCATAATAATTACTTTCCCTTCAAGCTAGGATATTAAAGCTCAATGGCAGGTGATTCATATTTAGTAAAACCTCACACAGATTAGCAACCTCCAGCTTTTCATCAGTTTTCAGTAGACCGACTGACAGATTTCTCATAGGATAAATATTATTGTCTGTCATTGAGGAATATTCAAAGGTCATTTAATATTGTCTTGAATTCTATGATTGTACGAATAATTGAATTTCAATTCTAACTGTAATCCCAAAATAACACCAAAGCAGTCAACCGATTCATAAATACAATGTGCGTCTTGGTTGTAACAACATTATGATTTATGTTATTTTACTTAAATCTTTCACACTGCATATTTGAATATCATGATTGAGTTATTTATGGATTCTTGAAATTATACTTTATCTGCTCATGTTCCTTTAATGCATAACTCGTTTTCCTTTATGGTTATGTAACACAATATTTGGTTGTAAAAAGTTTAACTTGACACTTTTAATTAAATAATAAATATATGCTACATATTTTATGTCATGGAAATTTTCATGGACCTTCCATGCAATATATTACTATGAAGATTTTGATCAAAACAAAAGTAGATTGTTACGAAGATTCAAAGTTTTCCCTCGGTTGAAACTTTCAAAATAAATATAAATTGTTCCTTTAAGTTTCAAAGATTTCATATTATCAAAATTAATTCGAGAAATTAGTGTGGAAAAAGCAAATCAATGGTAGTCAATATGAGATAATAGTAAATGAATTATCATTGCTTAGACAGGTAAATATCATTTTATCTTTCCTGGACACAAGGTAATTAATTGATCTCAGTATATTTATATAAACTCAAGTTAATTTGATAACAGCAAGTATTGATCATCATTTATTGTTTTTTACTCCAGAAATCAATCAAAATATCTTTGTTACCATGGTTACCAGCAGGTAATTGAATCTTAACGGAATAGAGTTTACAGGGAGTTCTTTTTTTTTCTTATCTAATTCTAAATCTTTAGAGGTTAATTAAGGAATTGATTGTGGTTTAGTTATTAATGAATGGTGTGCTTGGTCACAGAAAAATTACCTCATATCCTAATTATGAATGATTGACTTTCCAGTAAAGTTAAGTAATTTGGCATTTTTTATACTTGACTTTCAGAGGATTTTAGTTTCCAATGCAGGGCCTTTGATTCAGTTCTATTTGCCAGACATGACAGGCAAGGCAGGATCTATTTTCTCTGTCAGATAACAAGAAACGAATTGCAATTATTTGACAAATCACTAATGGGATACAAAGCCATCAATCACTGCCACAGATGGAAGATGTTTGTGAAAATAAACTTACTTCAACAAATCTTTTTTATACGGTTCATCAAAGTCTCTTTCTCCACTTTCTACTAATGATTTAAAGTCTCCTCTTTTCCTGTAAATACAATATAAATGGGAAATAAATGAGAATTTCCAGTCAGTCCAATAAGATGGAATATGGCTTCATTCTGATTTTTCAGAATTGTACAGAATAGAACTTTGATGAGCTGAGTTGATTCTAAGCATCCTCTATAATACAGAAACCACACAAGTGTTTAATTTGAAGCTACTTACTTGAAATATAAAGCTAGATCAGTGGATAATATAGCATGTTCTAATGTTTTTATTACATTCCTATAATCTGTAGGGGATAAAGATTGGAATATGTTGTTTCCCTGGAATTATATAGTTATATTTTATGATGATTATTATCTTAACTTGTCTACAGTTTTATTACTGTAGTTTTATTACTGTAGTTTCTTCATCTTAATAACTATCAATTCTACACAACATTTTTGATAAACACTTTCTCTAATAGAACTCTAAAGAGGTTTTGTATCAAGAACACTTAATCTTCCATTATATGTCAATGCTTGGGAAATACAGTTGTTGCAAAGCAATTTTAAACCAGATTCCATAATCTTAGTATCTGATAAAAGCAATTTAAATGTTTGTTGTGATTATGACTTTAATTACAATGACAGCTTATGATCAGTTAATACTTACTTCACTATTTAATATCATGATACAATGATCAAAATGATGATGTTCTAGAACTGATGTACTATATAACATAGCAAGAGGACTGGCAACCCTAAAATAGGAAATATCCTTGCTTGTTAATATGACATTAAAGAAATACATGTGTGTGACAGAAATACATTATTGCCAAGGCTGTAGGTCAATCCAAAAATAAGACAATGGCCTCCATTAGCACTGACCTTGATGAGATCCTTGATGCAAATATATACTTTGTTTTAATGGGATCTTTTTTAAAGATATTACTGATGAATATTAAGTTGTAATTGTGATAAATCAAATCTGTTATTTTCCCCTCTCCAATTAATAGGAATTTAAAACTTACTTGACTTGAAATGCATTGTTTGTACCCCTATGGTCTAAATCATGACACAAACAAGCTACCATAAGGGCAAATATTTCTAGATCATCAAATATTGGTCTCAATTCTCCAGTCTGTTGAAAGAAAATGTTTAATAAAGATTTTGAAGGTTTCTCAATTTTGGTGTGTGTATCATTATCTGAACTGTCAAATACCCCAGGTTTATCTTACATGTCATGTATGTGTTCTTATCCTTCCGAATTGTCTTTCTGTTGATTAATTGTTACCTTGCTACTTCTATTATAAATAGGGTTGATGATGTCTTGAATTGTATATGCATAGAGCTACATATTCTTAAAGGTATAAGTAGAATCAATGAATAATCTGGTCATAATGATACAATCACTGGTATTCAATTGGTATACTTACATAGAGCATAGTAAACATGGTTTGACAAACATTAAAAGCATGTCTCCAATTATGATAGGTGACTGGTCTATAATTCTTCTTGACACTACAGATCCATCTACACATTACCTAATAATACAACATAAATTATGATACATTTTACAGACAATATTCAGTAAAACTGAATCTTTTGAAACCTCTGAATATCAGTTTATGAGATGAGGCATAAGAAAGATTGACTAATTCAGGTATAATGTACTTGTAGAACACCAAACCACACCCTTGAGAAATACATTACCTCATTGGGTATTTTAAAGTGATTGATTACATCTGAATCTGTGAACATTCTAATGACTGCCTTCAATGTTCCATCATCTGGGAGTGGAATGTCATCAAAATCAAAACTGTATAGCCTTAGCTTATCTGCTGTTGGTAATGGGTCTTCCTAAAAATAACAAAAACGATCATATCAAGTCATATCAAAGTTTAGTCCGAAATATCTGCGTTTATTCCAGCCTGTAGTCGACAACTTACTTCCAAATAGCTATCAGAGGCTGGAATAGAGACCGATGTTAAATAAACATCCCTAATAGATTAATTATACATTATTGCTGGGTAAAATCGCGAGTTCATTAGCTTGTGATGTATGCAATTTGTGACACTTTATATGTGTAATTAGCTGGGTATAGAGTGGGCAGTAGCTGCCATTTATACCAGTACTTGAACCCATATACTCAGTTCTTTAATGTCATCCCTTGAGACAATTGAAGATAATTAGGTCTGATGACATAGGAGGATTCAATAGAATTTAATTTGAACGAGTCAAATCAATACGGTTTACAGACATTAATTTATCATGTCATTAAGACATATTCATCAGCCATATCGTGTGCTCTGACTCCATGATCCTCTAGCTATTGTTACCTTGTTCTATAAATCATTTCACCTGACAGTCTTACAATACAATCAGACGTATACATCATTTTGAACAACTTTTATAATACCTGAACTGTATACATATTAATATTAAATTTGATAGCTCACTATATTTTAAAATGAAAATGCTTTATACTTCGAAAATGGCTAAATGGAGAATTGCTGTTTTGATAAATTTTACAGCTCAGCTAAAAAATGTTGTTTTTTAAAAAGGTCTATGCCGAGGGCAAGTATTCTGAGAAATGCCAAATATGAACGTGGATATTAGAGTACAAGCTAATTTTCACAAATCAGGGCCTGGCCCTAATGCCCTGGTCCAATACTGGTGGTTGATTCTGGGTTCTATTTGCCGATTTATCTTAGGCCTTTGATTCATTAAACTAAATTAAATTGTCATAGAAAATATATTTCTCACGGTATTAATATAACAACAAATCACTAAATACCATTTCTATATCGCACTTTAATTGTTATATTAAGCACCATTTTAACAGTGAGAATATTTTGGGTTTTTTTTATTTATAAGTATGAGTAACCTATGTTCAGTGGTGTGGTATCACAGTTCCCCATGGCTATAAATAAGGCTTTTGAATAAGAGATTTATACTCTTTGATTTGCTGATATTAGATATTTGTAAATATTTATAAGCACCTACCAATATTTTCGCAGCTTCTTCTGTTTGAGCTGTGGCATGATACGACAATACTTCTAATGCTACACTTTGTTTGGCCATCAATCTGCACGCATTTTCATACATTTGGCAATTATGGATTCCAAGACCAGTAAATATAGAAAAAGCCTGTAATGGAAAGCTAATCATTGGAAAGTCATTAAAAATAGATTAGTGATGTTTTACAATTGAATTGCGGAGTTCTGGACATTGTTGGTGGAAAGGTCGCCTTAAATTGGAGTCGATGGCTTTCCTAATGATAATGATGTCCAAGACCATCAATGATTTTAAAGGGTTATTGTATGATAAGGTAATTCATGCTCCCAACACGCAACGTGAGACCTTTAATGCTTTCACGTCCATTCACCTGCATACGTTGCAATATCTCCCCCTTCATCAGCACACCGTTTGGCTATCTTATTCGTCCGTAAAAACAAGTATGATTTTCATGTCATCATGTCATGGAATAGCCAGTTGACTTGAGCCAACTAAAGAGATCAGCAATTAATTGGTGTTCATCAACTTCACGTAAAATGTAAGACCAATGCTTTCCATATGTCTCAACTAGTGTAGTGTGGCGCTTGAAACAGACACGTTAACGATTTTTGTGCCCGCAACCACCAGTGTGAACGTCGTGGTAACCAATACTTAAAGTGTTACCTCTATTATATTCTCGTCGTTCTCATTAAAAGGTTTACAATTGTTTTTATTAATAAGAAGCGTGACACCAGTAATTCTTTTATCACTATTATAGATTGGTATACATAATATACTTCTCGTATGAAACCCGTCTTCCTCAACAAACTGAAACAGATAACATAAAGCTTGAAAAGTGGTGCTGCTGCTGTTTTCTGCATCTTAAATAGAAACTAGATCAACCTGCAACCGACAGAGTCTGAGAGCAGCTAGAGCTTTAGCTATTGGCGCTAAGGAAAATCGCTGGGTTATGAGCGACCTGAGCGCACTGACGTCCAAAGCGAACAGTTGCCGCCACTTGCCTTCAGCTGCACATGTTGTTCTTTCTACAAAAATTGGATCTTCCTGTCGGGATCTGCGACCATTCAGTTGTAATTGTTAGTATGTCATTCTCTCGGTAGTAGCGCTTCGCTGATGTGATGATTGTTGATGTGAGTCCATAGTTAAATAGTTAGTTGTGTTAGTTGTGATGCCATGCTTCTCTTTTCATTCTAGCAGAATCGTGTAATAGGCTACTCACCGGTTCACTTCCAAATCTGCCATCCATTTGTAAATCATCTATATTCATTGTCTGAAATATAAACAATACGAATTTCCATTAATTAAACTTGAAATAATGTTAGTATTGAAATGTTATTAACCAAAGTTAAAGTTTGGATGACACGTGCAATTTCAATTCTGACCCACAATGCGTTAATAGATCCATATGACCATTATCTTCGATTAGTTTGGTGAGATCATATATTATGCTTATTTTTCCTTTCACGTCCACGAAATAGCCCGTTAAGACTACAGACAACAATGTTTGCTTTAGAGATTAGATTACAGAGATTTTAGTTCACGTTGCCTTGTATTATATTCTGAAAGTTACGTCGAAAAAAACTCTCTATTCGTTATCAAAGTATTTGAAGCTAGCAGAAGAAATTGATTTATTCTCGGAATTTTGAAATATAATTATAACGCAAACATTTTATAAGTTTGCAAATCAATATTGCTGGGTTTTTACCACTGTGGTTTAAAAGGTAACTTCTATTACTGTGTATAATTTCAATACCAATGATGAGATTTAATACTGTCAAGATTATCAACAAAGGGATAATACCTATTTCTTCATTGTTCATACATTATATTATACTATGGATAACTAATGCAAATTTCCATTTTTAATTTTCAGAAACACCTATTGTATTTCGTTTGTTTATCTGATTCTGACTAAGACAATGTCTTGAATAGTACTATAAGAAAATGAACCTCATAGAAGCAGTGATTCAAAATACAACGTGTCATCAAGGTTTAATGCACTCTTTTTGTTCTTGCAATGGATCTGGACCAAAACCGTTATAGGCTGATATGGACAATCATGAATCAAATATTCCCCCATAAGGTTCATTAAGTACCCATTAAGAGGATAGGCCTAAGTTCTATTGGTCTGTTTTATGCCCAGTTAAACTAATACTAATAATTCTTACCGTGCCATGAACCACTACATATTTTGCTATTTTCGTATTCTTACTTTTGGCCATTTCCATTGGACTGAAATAAATAAGTATTACTCCTGTATAGTCACAACAAATCACAGACCTCCAGTGATATTTAATTCCAATTCCTATTATGTTCAAGGGGTATGTTTGTTTTTGCAATAGACACATTTTTCGATATTTCAACAACCTACCTCGGTTCCTTAATAATGCCTCCATCTTTTGCGTAAAAATCAAATGACTTTGAAAAGTTAACGTCCTGAAATTTTAATTGAAGTCAAATTCTATTACATTATTTGAATATGTGTCAGGCAAAGTGTCATGCTGTTACAGCTGTGTTTGAATTAAAGGATTTGGCAGAACGACAGCAATCATCATCTTGAAAATTTAACCTTCAATTTTTTTTATCTTTAATGGAGCTCTTAAAATGAAAATTTTCACCAAGATTTATCCAAAATAATAGTGCCTTCTACAATTTAATGACCACTTGTTGACATTTGACGAAATTCAAAAATAAAAGTGTATATAGACCTAATCATGATAAATAAAAAAAAAACAATATCAGAACATACGTTGACAGAATTGTATTCTTTTTTAGGTTCCTTTTCTTGGATTGTGTCGTTGGTATTTGGTCCTGTACTATTTGAAGGATCCTAAACAGATATTCATAAATAGACACATTATTTTCTTGTAGAAATGTAGCTTTTGAGTAGATTGTTGTTGATAGGAGATAATGATTACTTTTTTGTACTACACAAAACAAACATACACAGTTTACAGACTGGTTAAAACATAAGACTTTATTGGGAAAGGTTATTTTTTTCTGGACATATGCATACATTGACACAAAGAATAATACACCAAGAACTGTATAAATAACAAGGGCAATAGGCTACTTGTATTTCACAAAAAAAAATTAAACAAGTAATTGTGGAACTCAGAAGAAGCAATAGATCAAGGCTGTAAATGTAGAATTTTTGAGTACATCTCCCATCCAAGAAAACAATACTCTAAACTTTTAAAAGCAGGACACAAAACTATTACATTGAGAATCAATGAAACCTCGCTGTCCTATAATTAAAAGTTCTCGGGCTAATTGTGAAGATTTTCCTGCCTTTATGACGTGAAATTGACATATTAGTCTTGGCAAGTTTTGATTGGCAAGTTTAACGAGAGGTTGATGACTGAATGACTGCATAGCGAGGTTCCATGATTCGAACGGTTGACATAAATTCTAAACTAATTTGGACAAGGTAAGGCTATTGATTAATATACCCTTGAGTCTTGTTTCTGTAGTTCGCCAGGTTTGAGACCCTGTGTCAAAAAAATAATAAGGAATAATAATAAGCTAGGTAAGCGAAATGAAAATGATCAAGCAAACTGCTAGTGCATGTTGAAGCCAGATGCTAATCAAGCCTTTCTTTAAATAATCCAACAACCACCATAATTAGGTATTAATAAACGAAACTGAGGTATATCATATATATATATAAGGATAAAGATGGTTAGTTGATAATAATCATATGCTAGGTAAGGAAAACTACCTACATAATATTCTCTAGTTCAAGAAATTTAAAAATGTTTCTTTATTTGAATATCAGACATCTCGTACAAAATTTGACAGCATGAAAAACGAAAGCACAGTTAAAAAGTTCATTTTCTAAGTCAAAGTCATAAGGAGACTCTTTTAACAACGACCTTCAACAGACAGGATGTTTGAAATTCAAAAAACAACTTCTAAATTTATTAAACAGAGAATACAATTAGGTTGTTATGATGTTGAATTATTATACCTGCATAGCCATCACTAGAGATTTCTGAGGATATTTGGCTAAACGGTCCATAAACTCTTTGGTAAACTTGTGACTATCCTGATATATAAACACAAAATATAAAAAAATCAAATCAATAAATAAAACAAACACAGCCTCTAAAAGCTTGACCAGTAAATAAGTTTACTAATTATTTGAAAAAATGCCTATAGAAAGAGTTGAAAATGAGAAATAATATTAATTGTAGGCCTTTAAATACAAATTATATCATCTAAACCTGTACAGAGAAAGAAACAAACACATTGACGTGCACTAAATAGAATCTAGGGTGAACAGACAAACCAGTGAATATTTTACAATATTTTGGACAATTGGATTGAATCTTAAGAAACAAATAAAGTATTGGGAGGAAGTGGGTCTGTGGTAGACTTTTTTGAAGGAACACAGAAAAGAGATTTGAGTATACAGTTGCACACTCCTTTTGTGTTGCGGGTTTTTACCAAACTTGAGTATCAAAAAAATGGGTGGATTTTTGAAATTCGACTTCTTGTACTTTAGGTTTTTGGAAAGTTCATATAATTATCCGGTGAAAATGAAAAAACAATCTATTTCTATGTTAATATCTACAATGAAAGTTAAATTAAAAATGTATTCTCTATTATCAGGGGAGGTAATTACCTTGCTCTCCGCCCAAAACTGAAAAGATTTTCAACAGCAATTAACCTAGCATAGTCGACAATAAAACAAAGAACATGCATTGTTGTTAGTTATCTAATCTAATATATGATTCATTTAAAGAGATCGAAAGATTACAAGAGAGGGTACCTAACAATCATGCAACAATACATCACGTCAATGTCAAACGCAGCAAAAGATTGGTTAAAGTATACAGAAACATGTTATCAAATTTACCAAGCATAAACATGTTTTTTGACATTTTTTCCTAAATATTTAACACTCGTGGATAATGGTCTTACGTTTTCCAGTGAATCTTCTAATAAGTATATGGTACATCGTTCACACTTAAGAATTTCTTGAGCATCTAACATAATCTTTTCAATCAGCTTATTCAAGTTGGTCTGTTCTTCAAACACTCCTCTTGCAAGATGTAATAATAGCTGGAAGAGAAAGACAGCATATGCTATGAAACATAAGCCTATTTATTAAGATGCCTACAGTTTTTATTGAATATATACAATGTGAAATATCCTTGACATATATGTTTTCTATTATGGGAACCCAAGCTGATAAGATGTCTGGTAAGGATACTTCAATTTTTACCAGATTATAAAGAAGTGTTGATGACAGATGTATTAGTTTCTTACACATGTTTTGATGGCGATTAATGTAACGGAATCATAACGGCTGATGGAATCAAGTGTAATAGATTATATAAAAGATATTAAATCGATGAAGATATCGGTAACCTTATTATTGAAGTAGTTTGAAATATGATTTTAAAGACTGTTTAATGATTTCAAGTACATCAAAAGTGCAAAGAGTGCTGTAGTTTCCCATTAGGCCCATAAAGATGATATAATGAAGGTCACAAAGACACGATCATATATAGTGTTGGATTTTAGCAGAATCATATAGATTATTATTTATTATTATAAAGATAGCTTGCCAGGCAGGGTATTGTATACGCCCACTGGCAGCTTTGGTTTTAAATAAAAATATTTGGCAGTACAGTAACAATTACCAGTATGAAAAATTCAACCTTCTGTCTTACACTTCTTTTGAACTTTTTGGGGCGATACTGTATACTATTACAAGTTTATTTAAAATTTGTCAAGAATTGTGCCTTCTAGAGTGTTTACGTGCTAAAAATTGAACGAATTTTCAAGAACAAGGACAATAACTCATTCTAAATATTTAGCATTTAAGGAAGGACGGACGGACGGACATGGGTGACGGCAATATTCACCCCCATTTCATGTGGGCGTACAAAAAGTGGCAGAGATAATGTAACACGATCATATAGGGTGATGGAATCCGATAGGGTCTATTGAGTGACAAAGATAAGATAATTGGAAAAATGAGTTTTATAGAGAGATCGATCATACAGAGCAATGAAATTATAACGGTATCCTTGATAAATGTAACAAGGTCATACCGTATGATGACGACAAGTTAACAGGATCACAAAGATAGTGCATAATATGACCATATATAGTGAATAATACCAATTAGCCCTAGCCGTTAATCAAAATCAAAATCATCAAGTTAAATTAAATGGACAACAATGAATCTCCAGATAAATGGAAGACACATATCAAAGCTTTAATAATATAATGTTGAAGATAAATGTAACTGGAAGATTAAGTGTAATGAAGATAAGTGTAACACGATTATAAAGAGTGATGGAGATAATGTAACACGATCATATAGATAGACTGATTGAATTAAACAGGGTCAAAAAGTGTGATACCAGAGATCGAAAAGAAGATATAATATAGAACGATGAAACGTTATTTTAAAGTGTAACTAAGATGAGTTAAACAATAATAGAGTGATGAAGATTAGAGTAACGGGATCATATACAGTGATTTGGTTTCACACGGTCATATAGAGTGACACAGGTAGGTGTATACGAATGATGAAACTGAATGGTAACCAAATTATAAAAAGTGACGAAGATAAGTGTAACGGGATCATTGCAAGCGTTTGGAAATAAGTCACGAAGAATGATGAAGATAAGCGTAACGGGATCATACAGAGTGATAAAGGTATCATACAAAGTGATTGAGATAAGTTAACGGGATCATAACGAGTGATGGAGAAAAGTGTAACAGGATCATAATGAGTGATGGAGGTAATTGTAAGGGGATCATATTGGGTTGGGTTTCACAGGGCCATATAGAGAGACACAGATAAGTGTATACAAATGATGAAACTAAATGGTAACCGAATTTTAAAAGTGTCGAAGATAAGTGTAACGGGATCTTTACAAGTGTTTGGAGATAAGTGTAACGGGGTCATAAAGAATGGTGAAGATAAGCGTAACGGGATCATACAGAGTGATGAAGTATCATACAGAGTGATAAAGGTATCATACAGAATGATGGGGATAAGCGTAACGGGATCAAACAGAGTGATGAAGTATCATACAGAGTGATAAAGGTATCATACAGAATGATGGGGATAAGCGTAACGGGATCATACAGAGTGATGAAGTATCATACAGAGTGATAAAGGTATCATACAGAATGATGGGAATAAGCGTAACGGGATCAAACAGAGTGATGAAGTATCATACAGAGTGATAAAGGTATCATACAGAATGATGGGGATAAGCGTAACGGGATCATACAGAGTGATGAAGTATCATACAGAGTGATAAAGGTATCATACAGAATGGTGGGGATAAGCGTAACGGGATCATACAGAGTGATGAAGTATCATACAGAGTGATAAAGGTATCATACAGAATGATGGGGATAAGCGTAACGGGATCATACAGAGTGATGAAGTATCATACAGAGTGATAAAGGTATCATGCAGAATGATGGGGATAAGCGTAACGGAATCATACAGAGTGATAAAGGTATCATACAGAATGGTGGGGATAAGTGTAACGGGATCATACAGAGTGATGAAGGTATCATATAGAGTGACAAAGGTATCATACAGAGTGATGGGGATAAGTTAACAGGATCAAGACGAGTGATGGAGGAAAGGTGTAACAGGATTATAATGAGTGATGGAGATAAGTGTAACGGGATCATATACAGTGATTTGGTTTCACAGGATCATATATGATGACAAAGATAAATGTTTACGAATTATAAAAGTAAATGGTGATAAAGTGTAACAGGATCATAAAAAGTAAAGAAGATATGCGTGAGATAAGTGTACCCTTATTATAAAATCTAAAGAAGATAAATTTAACCGGATCATAAAGAGTGATTGAAATTGGTATAACGACGTCATACAGGATGGTGAAGAGAGCACAAAGTCATGAAGTTAAATGTAACGGGAAGGTTAAGAGTAGGGTCATAAAGAGTTGATGATGGTGAAAAAAGTTATATAAGATAAATCAAACGAGGAATTGAGAGTGATGAAGATAAGTGTAATACTATCATATAAGGTGATGAGTTTGATAGAGTAATATAGAGTGAAACAGATGTATCTGATTATAACAAAATAGAGATAGTTTAACAGGATGGTACAAAAAGATGAACGTCTTACGATATCCTAAATATCCTAAATAGTGATGGAGAGAAGTGTTACAGAGTTGTAAATGGCGGTAAAGATTAATATCATTATTAGGAATACAAAGAATGGTGAAGAATAATATAGCAGGCGCATAATGCATGGAGATTACAGTTTGCAAAGAATGATGTAAAGAAAAGAAAGTTTAACCGAAATATAAATGCAATTTAATCAAGACAAAAAGTTATAGGGTTAGTGAGACTAGAAGTTGGCATAACGTTTCAATTTAAAATGGAAAATACGCAATATCTGATATTATTACATTACTTATTCTTGAAGCCACTTCCATCTAATCATTTAGTCGGTCGAGAAGGTACCAAAGATAACAAAACAATGTGAATCACTCAGAGAGAACTGTCGGACTAAAGATCTGATCAAAGATTGTTATTGATATTTTTCTTGATAAGGTTGTTTATATCTAATCTCACTTTCATCTATATTTCTTAATGGTAGTGGTTAATAAATTCTGTTATTAGCCTTCATACTAGGAGGTTAGATCTTTAAATTGCACATAACTTACTTCGATGTAATTAATTGTTGTAAACATAATTAATGTTGAATCAGTTCAATTAGTTAACGATAAGCTGAAGGTTAAACTGTTACTTACAGATAAGAGACAATTTCAATCAGAGGCCAGAGCACTGTCGTTTTAATGGTAATTTAGCCAGAAATTGATACATGACGAAGCTGTGGAAATTTAATTTGTAAAACAAATTGAAATTAATGTGTTGCTCTCTTTTCGCTTGATTTGAAAATCTGAATCGCAGTACGAAGCAGATTTGTAGGCTGATTTCTAGTTCCCAGGTATAACAAAAAGAATTATTGGTTTCGAGTTTCATGTTGTGGTGCGGATCGAGTTTTTCATATTTTTGGATATTGAAGTGCATGTCAGTGCAATCTAATTACCATTGGTTTTTGAAAATATAAAGCACAATTTCCTTTACATGTTGCACCACGCATCATGTGATGAATCAGTAAATAGAACAGATAAAATAATGAGTCCTGCACATGAATTCTGTGTTTTTGTGCAATTGCAATGTAAGGAGTGTAAAATCCTCCTTTCGACCTCTGGCTTTGGCTAATGAAAACGGAAATGCCATTCAGTGAAATATTGTTCACACTTATCTACTTCGACACAACCTTGCCTCGGTTTAATGTCCCATTCATTTTCGTCCGCCCGATCTGCATCATTGACAGAGTTTGTATATAATAACTCTGTCAGCGACAAAAACATACGAGGAAATTTAACAGCTCGTTTTGAATGTTTCAGCCATGATTAATTTGTAGGTAGAAGCTATTCTAAGATATAAAGTTAAAAACCAAATCGCATTACTATTACTATGAATGAATTACAATCCATACCATGTTGTCGACAACATTCCCAGGATGTGACCTACATAATAAAAAATCGTACAACTCTTTACATAATCTTTATTACCTTAGTATCTATCTCTCTTGATAAAGACCTGTGCAAGCTCTCACGCGTCATCTTTTACACCGTTTAACTTTTCAAACACATTAAATATTTTTGTTAGTGTAACTTGTAACTGGACATGAAATGTGTAGGCCTATAACTAGTTATAGCATAGTGATATACAAAACTTATATAGTGACATTTATGGCTTTTACACAATCCTATTCACACACATATATATTTCTTACAATTGTATTAATATTATTGTAATATGTTATTGAATAGAAAGCTATTTGAAGGTGTATCGATGATTTAAAGGTACAAGCTGTTTACATTGATTGGTCGTTTACTCTGATCATTCTAGAAAATGCAATGGTGAGGAATGTTGATCAGATTTAACAGGAGAGTCAATCACTATAATGACTATTGATAACAATGGTACATCTATCTGAGGAATTAGATGACTATGATAAGGGAATACTGATTTATATTTAAGAAGCTTAATCTATGGACAATTGTAAACTATATCTCAAAAGAATCGTATTTTTAGTTTTGATCACGTAAAAAAGTGATAAAAATTTGTATGACACGCAACTGAAGTATGTGAGGTGAAATTGGAACTTGGATGTCATAACTTTGAGAATTTTGAGGTTATATTTCTTTAAATAAGTGTACCAATGAGCACCCGATACGACAGTTTATAGTAGCATTGTCAATGCAAACAATGGGTAATTGTATGTTCTATGATTTTTGATTTGAATACAAAACATTTGAGTCATTGGTACTGAATCAGCCCACAGATTACAAAACAGTTTTACTCCCACCGAATAACATTCACAGATGATTCACTGTGACCTTAGAAAGGCTTCCGGTATGATCATTGATCATATTCAAATTAAAACCTCTTTTCACATACTCTTTAAATGATGTTTGTCATTTCTGGAACGTCTTCTGACTGAAATTCTTAGTTTAGATATAAATATTTATCTTGGTTGTTAAAGACACGATTACAGCTTCTCTGACCAGGAGGCTAGTATCCACTTTTCCAATTTCCCGTATCTTGAGAGGTCGACTTCCGGTCAAGACAGTCAAATTAGAACTAGTCTATCTTTACTCAATGTGCAAATACTCTGTTCAAGTTGAAATTTCTCAATTTAAAGTTCTAGTTTACCACATTAGTCTCAGTTGAGACGTATGTATGATACTCGAGTGGATCTCGGAACAAAACAAGTCTTTCAAATATCACCTTATTTTCAACCAGAAACAATTTTATCATATCTGAATCGATTAAGATTTAATTTGAGCAGAAAGAACAATAATTGGAACCCCGCGAAAGAATTTTGACGTTCAGTAGGAAATAAATTATGTTGTTGATGTATTATGTCACACAAAGATTTTATCTGATGTTTCTTACTGTAGTTAGCTGGGGCTGGCTCGTCTGTTCTGTAAGCTTTTTGCCATTTATTATAGCGATTGATTAGCTTTGTTAATGATGTTCTTCCTTTATTTTTGTAATGTAATATGGTAGTTATGTAAACTTTGATAGTTAAGCTTAGATAGGAATTATAATAAAGATATTTTTCTCTGAGAATATTTTGATGTTGGCATCGATTTTCTCGACGATACTAGTCCAATATAATACACCAATAGCTGTAGAATGATTAATCATTTTGAAATGATTAATTTTAAATAAAATACGTACCTGATTGCGGGTAAATTCCTGTACAGACATTTCGAATAACTGGGCATTTGTGATACCGATTCCACAGAATGTGAGGTACTTTTTGAATACCTGAAAATGAAAAAAATACTAGAATATTATGTTTAATTGTAGGAATCGAAGAGAGTTTGATTTTGATTACACTGTCATTCCATAGACGCTATCGTGGTTATACAGCATTTCTGCTACGTAGCATATGTATAAAATATCCCTCTAAAAGCCCTAAAAAAATCAACATATTAAATACTAACATAAGGATTATTTCAATGAATATCAATTGGTATGATTTCTTTAATTGTTATTTACATGACGGAATATGGTTGGACATTCAAATGGAATCTTTCAAGATAACTATTTACTACTGGGACTTAAATTTGAAAAACAATTTGCTGTCTGGCTTAAAGCTCTTATTTACAGACAGATCTTTACTGAAATAAAATATCTATCACTAGATTTCTTTTCCTGTCATATATGGACAGCATTTCCGTATATTATGGTGAGCTGGAGGACAATACACACTTCGTTTCATTCTGTCAGATATAATCTTATTATTTACATTCAGAGCAATACTAAAGGACGGAAATCCAGCTTTCAGCTCCCAGAAACGTATTATGAAAAGACAAAAAATTTCAATAGAAGTAGAACTCTTCAATAGAATTAGGACAAAGGTGGTTGTTCTACTTAATACTCAAGGCCATAAAAACACACAACAATCTGTAATTTGCGCAGATCTTTCTACGTTCGAAAGATTACATACGAAACTACGTATTGTTCTTACATGAAAATAACACACACGAACGTAGTTTACAGCCATTTTGAATCTCTTCCTCGACTTAATGAGTCGAATTTTTTAAAATATTCCTACGAAGCCTCCAAATTACATTTAGAATTGACTTTAAATGTGATATGATGGCTTTGTTGAAACATTGTAACCTTTTTGAAAATTCGACTTATTTAGTCGAAGTAGTGAATCAAAATGTTTGTGAACTACATTCTTACGTAGTTTCGTACAGAAGGATAACTGATGTCACTCCTGGATTTGTCAACATAATCTTTAACAAATCTGCATTGCCGATAATGTAAGGCATAATGTTTTTTCTTTCATTGATATATTTTAGGGCATGGCAAGTTTGTACATTGGCTGTCAAAATGGTTCTTCTGTCCTATAGAAAACTAGCAGAGATCAAGATCAAGTCAATCATAGAGGTTGAGAAAAAAGGTGTTATAATGAGAGATTTGAGGAGACGTGACATCATAACCTCATGATTATGGATGTATAATATGAGATCTAATTCTCTGTTATAAGATACTATGGAGTGACAGGCTGTAATTCTTTATGTTCTTTAGTTAGATATTCCAATGTGAAATCTTCTATATCTAGCTTATTGTAAATGTCAAGAAATGTAATAAGAGAGTAGGGGGTAATTCTCCATCCCACTTTACATTTAATATAAAATCAATTCTGAAGAATCGACTGGGAAAATTGTAAGAAAAAACATTATTTCATCTGTCAGTTGTTATAAATGTTGAAATCCAACAAATCAATCAGAATAAAAAACATCATTACATTTGGTAAAAATGCCTTTCTTAAATCTTTGAAGCAGACGTGTGTTTAAAATTACTTTATAAATCAATATTTAGAAATCGATCTGAAATCGCAAAGTGAAATAAATGAGAATACAAGAACACTTTCTAGACTACGGAAATGATAAAAAAGGATGATTACAAAATATCCCCTGTGGATATCTAGGCGACTTCAGCGTAGTATATTTCCTGTAGAACGGAGCGGAAAAATACTAGGCTTCATTTAAGTGTCTACAATTTTATTTAAATGCACCTAGGCTACAATAAATAAGAAACGTGTGATTTTAGATCGTTGGTTTCTTTCTCAGCCCACAAAGCAATTAAGTGCAAATAATCAAAGTTACAAGAAACTTTGTTCATTGCTTACTGGTCCATCTTTTGTTCTTATTCCATTCTCAGATCGAAGTTGTTTTTAAGACAGGTAGCTTATTGAATTAAAGACAAGCATGCATATCGATGTCTGATCATTAGCAATATGTACTAAGGCTGCTCAAGTTGTTTAAGTCGGTTATTCTAGATATCTTAAACCGGTTGTTTGCTTGACTAAAAAGAAAATACTCGCTTAAGACTCCATCTGACTGTAAACTATTCCATATTAAACGGTTTTTAAACTTGGAATCTCAGTTATTTACGGTCTGAAATCGCACAGTAAATTATTGTAAGCCGATTTGGAGATTTTCTCAGACGTAGTTTGTCAATAGGCTGACAAGCTGGTCAAAGGCACGAAGACCTCAGGTTGAAAATAATGAGCATTAAACTCGTTATCCAACATAAATTTCCACAAAATCAATACTAATGATATTTTTGTACCAATTATCTATATTCATACATATATACGTTAATAATTTATGGAATATGAAAATATGTTGCATTTTTCTTATCGTGTTAACTATGGAAACTATTTCCACATTCTTTCCAAATTTGTTCAGGATATTTTGCTTTCTTTACATATCTTTAAAGGAATGGTAGCGAAATTACTATGTCTATAGCTGTTCTCTTTATTTCAGGTGGTTCAGAATAAACGATAACACTTTCATTTCACGATTTTTAAAACCGCATCAAAGTTATGATCACAATATTTAGACCTCATATTTACGCGGTTATTGGACAATCTTTGCACCAAATTACAGCTTTAAAGGTTGAACCGTTTTAAAATAACAGCCCTTTTAAAATCCCTTGCCAAAAATTATAATGCCGAAAGTAAATACTGTAATAAAATTTTCCCTCTTTGATTAAACAAATGCTCTATGAGGACATTTTCAGCACCTGCAGATATATCTGTAATGTGAAGGATCTGAAGATATCCTGAATTATAAACATACGATATTGTTCAATTTAGAAGGAGAATGTATTATCACTCATTTGACTTTAAAGTGTATTTTGAGAGTAAAGTACAATGGAATGTCATTTAAAGTTGAGATTTAATGTGGATTGCCTCTAACGTCATTACCATGGAATAGTTAAAGACGAAAATTAAACGGAGAATAGCGACAAGTGACATTTTGAATTCAAGAAGTCGTCATTAAAATTGAGATCAATAAAAAAAAGTTCAAACATCTCAGCCAAATTAACATTATATGAAAGAGATTTTAATTCCTTATTTCCTGCTTGTCCCAGCTAGTTACTATACGAGTGTGTGATCAGCTGAAAAAAAAATTTCCTTAGGGAATGTCTTCAAGGGATACACTTTCATTCCGCAGGCCTCAACCTGGTACATTTTGCTTAATGTAAATATTACGACTGGCTTATGTACCCGTATATCGGGACATATTGTTTCATGCTAACCCGATGAATAATTCCGAAGAGTACACTGTTAAATGACGATTTCACATATTATCCACGAAAAACTTCTCTAGAGGTAATCAGGTAACCGGTTTCAGGCATTAGCTATTAATCTTGATCAAAACTTCATAGGATTACTTGAATCAGACAGTGACTTCCAGTTGTTAAATAAAGAAAAAATGGTGCCATATATCTCTTTGGAATTAGACTTCTCTACCGGAAATAAGCTAGGGATTTAAACCGAAGACCAAGGCGACATGCTAATCTTTCTCTTTTATTTCTGTATTAAGATATTATGTGAGAACGACTTTTCCTGTCTTACAATTACATTTGTAATGAGGTTGAGGCGAAAAACTTCCGGCGAAAAATAGACCTGGAATGAATGTATTGTTAAATTTCATCCAGTCCAGCTATTTTCTGTGAAAACATTGACTAAAGACAAAAGTGCCATGTACTCTTTACGACCGGCTTCAAATATATCCTGCTTTTTTGGATCTAACAGAACCTCCTTTCAAAAAGACAAAATCTGCTTACTGGTTAGGATTACCAGTGCTTCTATAGGAGTGTATCTTCTTTAACATCCAACACTACCAATCAACTATATCTTAAGTGAGCTATCAAATTTGAGAACTAACGTGTAAAAGGAATACCATACCTCTTCATCTGCCGGGGTAAAGACATGATTGCCACTGATTTTGTTGATAATTTGTGCTACTCCAATCACTTCCCCTTCATAATTAATAATAGGTAAACATAAAATACTGTGAGTTCTATATCCAGTTTTATCATCGACTTCTTGGTTAAATCTTGGATCCTGAAAACAAAAGAGGTTTCAATTTTCATTTTTTGAAAGTACGTAGCAGGGCTTTCAAATGGCAAATGAACAATTTGGGTTTTTCAAATATGGAAGCCGGTTATTTTGTTTCACACCAAAAGATGTGTTTAAGATTCCATTCGTCCACGTATGATAACTGTGGATGTTATGGCAGTAAATTTTACATTAGTTTATGCAGATGGTACTGAATTTATGATCTATATTAACAGTCAGTATATGATATCTGTAGATGAAACAGAAGGTATGATCTATATTAACAGTCATTATATGATAGCTGTAGATGGTACTGAATGTATGATCTATATTAACAGTCAGTGTATGATATCAGTAGATGATACTGAATGTATGATCTATATTAACATTCAGTGTATGATATCTGTAGAAGATACTGAATGTATGATCTATATTAACAGTCAGTGTATGATATCTGTAGAAGATACTGAATGTATGATCTATATAAATATATATATATATATGATATCTGTACTGAAGGTATTATCTAGATACATATTTGTATATCTGATGAAATGGATATGTGTAGCGACGTACAAAATGATTGCGTGATTTGATGTTATTAGATATAAAATATTATAGATATTAGAAAATTAATTTTGGCTTATTTTAATATTTATTCAATAAATTGATCGAGGCCTTTCTACAAACAAACTGATCTGTAAGCTGGGATTTATAGACGGGAATAGAAGCAGGTATTTTCTCTCGTTATTATCAAGTGTTTGGTCTTCTTTGGTATTCAAACATCATCATTTATTGATCATAAAACAGGAATATTATCAGAGATGAATTGTTAACACAAAAGCAAGAAGTTAAATCATGTTTAAATCGAATACCATTAACACTAGAAATCGATGTTAAAATTACTGTAGATCAGAACAATAGTTGCCTTAGAGTTAATATATTATTTACGAACAGAAGAGCTTTTGAAGTATTCTCAACTTTCCACATTGGTTCAGCTCTCACCAAATGTAAAGCTACCAAATGAGTAAAATTAGTAAAAAAAAAAAGACTGGGTTAAACAGGAGTTTCTATGTTCGATCACGGTAGCAGAATTGTCAAGACAAGTTCTGTAAATTAAAAAGGTATTGGATACATTTGGTACATTTCAAACTGTATTCTTGATAGAATGTAGATGAAAAAGAGTATGCTCGTTATTGCTTCTTTTCTAATAAAAGTCCTCTGATGTTGCACTGCATGTTATCTTGTGTTCATTAGTTTGCTGAGCTGCGTATGAATTTACCATGTCTTATATTTTAAATTCATTTCCGATTCTTGCAGATTTGATAGATTTCTATACTATCACATAGTGTAAATCAGTAAAAAAACGATGCAATATGTTGTGATGAATTAGTTCTTTTCATGACATCAGATACTGGTGACACTGGTGCATTGAATGATTTATTGAATTGCCTTCTACAATAATTAATATGTCATTTACCAGCATGACTTTCACTACTCTGATTATTCTCCTAAAATAGACTGTTTTATATAATTTTAAACAACTGACCGAAATAAACTGTTTTATAGAATTTTTAACAACTGACATTTAGTGGAATATAAAGAGAACGAACTGTAGAAGCCAGTTTATAATAGTCGAGTATTGATCTGCTAAATGGTATTTGTATTCAAACAAAAAACATTAATTAGAAAGACTGTAGGATGGCCTGACAGTCTACTATTTTATTACTAGACAGATAAACATCTCAACAAACACTACTTCTACTTCTCATTATTCAACTCGACCAATTAACCTTCTTGCCAATCTTCAGACGGAACAAATACAGATTCGTGTTAAATTATTTCGCTTGTTTGTCATTGTTGTTGTTATAAAGAAGAGACTGACCCATAGTTCCTGAAAGATATCACGTTGTTAGAAACATTCATCGATTCATCATGTAATAATTGAATTGGTAATGCTCAGTACAATGAGCTGAGATTGACAACATTTCAGACAGACTGTGTTTCCGACAAGCAGTAATCCCTGGATCGTCAGTAAACAGTTCATGGTGTCACGACCATTGATCATGATCATTAAGATCACCTTGCTGTACAGATGAAATAGCATACAATGTGTAAAATATATGAACAGCCTCTTTACGGTAAATATAGCAAGTTTCAGTCATTCCATGTAAAAGTATACAGAAAAACAGTTGATGACGTTCGATCAGTATCAATAATCCTGTATCTGTCATCGAGGCATATTCTTTTCTTTTTTTGTCAAGAATCTCACGATTATATTCGTTTAAAGATATCTGCAATGGGTTCAGCAATAATCATCGATGGTAAATTTTTGTGGCTCTGTCAAGTTACATGCCAATCGATTGTAGCTGAACCGTCTGAGCTTGTTGGGGATTCTTTATAACTCTCAGTAAATGTACTTTACAAATAATTAACACATTTTAGAATGTTTTTGTACATAAACCACAAGTCGGTAGTATGTTAAAGCTGATCAATGGTTGGTCTATGCTAACATGTAAAAAATCTGCAAGTGGGATAATATCATTTTATATAGTGCATATAACCCTGAATTTTAATGAAGACACCATAAGGTTTAGGTAAAGACATAATATGGATGTATATACGCGATGTCAATGATCTATCCGATCAAATATATCAAACAGTCATTCAGTAAGAATAAAACTATCTAATGGCACTCGGAGGAGTCAAACTTTATAGAGTTTTCTTTATAGTACTTCCGACGAGATGAGGACTTCTACTAAGTGGCTCCTTTTAGATGGCATCAAAGGAAATGATAAGTCAGTCAGGCTATACCATGTGGAATCTTTTGACACGTGTAATATGCCTCATCTAGATTTCTATGTCCTAGATTTACCAATGTCAATGATAACATTAATCATTCGTTGATCCGGAAAATTAAAGAGTACCCATTGTCAAGAATGGAAGCATCCGCCTAACACTACAGGATGTTCATCCACTGGAAAGATCTTTTTTTTTTTCAAATTAGTCGAGATGAATAGGAAGTACAATAAGATCACTCATCAATCATTTAATTGAATTAAAACATCATTAGATACCGACGTTCAGATCTGGGATCATGAGCGAGAATTGTTGACGTGTCTTTTGATGCGTTTAACTAAATTGTCTATCTTCTCGTCTTTTCCAGTTCCAGTGACATTCAATGCTTTTTTGCGTTCTAGAAAATGGAACATTTACGACAAAATATAACAAATAACTCTGCCAAAATTGTGTTTTTTAGTAAATTTCATTTCACATAACACAAAGCATTGTGCATTTGAGAATTTATGGAGCCTGTAAATATGTCTAAAAAGAATTATTTTGAAAGAAAATATTGAATTCAATCGTTCCAGTCCAGAGGTCACCTCTTAATAATTAGTAATTAGCTTAATATATCACGGTCATCAGGCAATGACCGGACTACTGTTAGTAGTTGTTATATTTATTCTCCTTTCAAGCATTAAACCTAAAAGGTAGCAAATTTGGCATTTGGATCAGGTTACAAATGACACGAAAATTTTACCAATATGATAATTTTGAATGTATAAATGTATAAAACAAATTCTATCCCATCCACTATCCAGTGGGTGATTTTTTCTGATGCAAATTTTTTATATATAAAATTATAACAGATTGGTTTTATATTTGTAGAGAGTGTGGGTGGTAATATGATGAATATTTAACAATTAAAAATACCCGTACTCAGGTAATAAATAATGAATATGAAAGCCATATAGACTAGATATTTAATTTCATGTTTAAAGAGACACTACCTCTAAGAATGCACATAAATGCATGTAACTTCTCAACTTAATAAATTATATACTCTTATTGCGTAAGTTTGAGAACTTAAAATGCATTTATGTGCATCTATTTACTTAGATATCGGATAAAAGAGGGATTCTGTTGTATACCCGGTAGTTATGGCTCTGGGTCGGTCCAAAGAAGAATATTATATTCTTTTTTTCTAAGAGGCAATATTCTTTTAATCTATACTGAAAAATGTAATATATTATGCTATAATTGTTTCTTGATTTACAGAATGGTATTAGTTAAAACTGATTCACTGTTCTGTTTTATAGTGATACTGAAGTACAAGATATGCATAGCTACTGCAAGTATAGGAAGAAAGCTATATATAGCAATGTTATAGTCCTGAACTATTGAGTTGTACAACACTTGCTGACATGTTTATATGTTCTCAATGCATGTAGATTTACTCGGAGCACACTGCACTAGTATTCAATAAATTTCCCACGAAAGTTTATGAGTTTTATTAATTGTCGAAGCTAAAACCTAATCTCGGTAGGCTACACATGTATCTTCATAACATAGCAGAATCTCTGTAATTGAAGTATGCAAGCATTGCTAAATAAAATTGCGGATCCATTATTACATATATGTAAATATGATAGTTCAAAAGTTAAGCTTATGAACTGTAACTACCAACCGCCCAATCTAAAACTTGATATGACTGACAATGTTATATATGGGTTTACTAACGTAGCCTGGACACTGCGTGCAAGTAACGTTTTTTCGGTGTTCCAAAAAAAAAACCCACAGAATTCTGCAACCTAAAGTTTGAATCGGGCAGGGTAAAACATGAGATTAAAAGAAATCTTACCTGATATGCATCTATAATGTTGATTGTTTCTTTAGTTAAAGCTACGCGTCCAGCAATTCCTTTTCCAAAAGGCACTTTGATCTCGTTTTCTTCCGTGTGTATAGATTCCTCTAAAGTAGATGTGTCAGTAACATCAAACAGTTTTGAGACTAGATAACGGTTTTCTTTAGTTCCTCGACATAGAAAAAGACTTCCTCTATCACTATTAGTTAATATACTAACATTCTGAAGGATCTTGTGACATAAAACATTGACATCTAATTCACTAGCAATGTCTCTAATTAGTTCCATAAACAAATCTTCTTCTGACATATGAACCAGGGATGATCGGTCTTTTTTAACGGACACTTTTCTCGCCCGTTCACCTTGTATGTAACTTTTAAATATACTTCCCGTGATGGAGTTTTTAACAATTTGGGAAAAACTTGTGATTCCCGACAGAAGAGAGTCGCATGTTTCTTCTTTAACCACTTGTTCGCTGATCTTTCTTTTAGGAGCATCGGGAACTAATTGTCCTGTATCTGGTAGAGGGTTTTCTAACAACCATTTTGTGACGAACTCGGGATGCTCCTTCAAATACTGTCCCACACTATCTTCACTCAATCCAGACATTTTCACAGATCGTCTGGAACCTTATCCTTAAAAAATTCCAGCTTTTTGGCCCAAAACTTTAGCTAAATCTGCACATTCTTCTATGTTACAAAAAACGTCCGTACAACTGGAAAACAATTAACACTAAAGTTATAGCGACCTGATTAAAATCCCATCAGTAATTATATTTGAATGATTAATTATCTGATTGGCATTTCAAATTCTCACATGGCTACCAGATAATATGATCACTTTCATTAGATTTCATTTGAACATCATCAGTATTCATAGAATCTGCGGAGCAAACCGAGTCCAGTAATCAAACCTACTTCATGTCACTGATTAAATGTTCTGTTGTGTATGAAGCTGATATAAATTCCTTCAAGCGATTGGGAACTAAGATCCTAGTTATAATAGTTATACCGAACTGGAAAAGAGTAAACCATGAAAGTGAAAGAATAGACAGTGATTGTGACTGTACACGAGTTTACACTGACGACAAGGTACCTTGTCACTGTATAATATTGATCTTTTATAATATACAACTCATCAATAGTCCTTCTTCAACATATACAGCCTTCATCACAATTTAGTTATTGACCTTTTTCAATGTTCTCATTAATACCATAGCCTTTTAATAAATTGATTTCAATAAATATGTTATTGTCTTATTAATTCTCAGATATTATATACGTCACTAATGGCATTATCTAATATTATTGACTGTAAATTCAATATTTTACAATAACTCAAACTGTAATATCCACTTTATAAGATTATACCGTCGAAGGTGGGTTACCTGAAATATAAAATAGACTATATGATACCAAGTTATTACAATTAGATTTTATGTATAAACACAGAAATCAATAAATGAAACTATGTATGTACAAATGGAGTGAAATTCTTGCTCATTGTATTCTGTTAAATTTCAGAAATTTGAATGTCTACATAGATATCAAGATACACGCACTATAAATCTTTTAATTTATTTCCAAAATGACCTTGTTGTGAATTCAAATAGTCATGCCAAGATAACTATCTTGTGATCAAGTTGCGAGATGTTGTTAAGAATACTTTATGGGAACAAGTGATTGGAACGAAATAGGGAAATTAAATGTCGATCTCACTTGCTCAGCTTTAACAAAGTGTGGGAGATTTGTTGAATACTCAAATTCTCTAAATATTCCTTTCATACATAAAATTGTATTATTGATCAATTTGGTAATTATTAACAATCGGCATACCTTGTTTGACATACAAGTATTGTATGTGAGTATGTTTAAAGTGGTAACATATGATTCGTATCAGTAAACTACAAACCCAAAAGTATGCTTAATAAGGTAATCCTCAAACTACCAAAATTGATATACTTCACTGTATAAAGAATTGTGTCGGTTTTTATAGATTACAAAACCATAATGCATGACTGTTAAGATAAACCTCACGCAGAAACCAAGTATTATTTTTCAGTTAAACGTGACAGTAGCAAAACATTATCATTTGTTAGATAAACCACACAAGTGCTAAAAAGTGTAATAACAAAGACTTCTTAACACTAACATAAAGTATGATTGTTAACACTATCAAGAACCATACTGTATCATAAAGTATGATTGTTGACACTATCACGAACCATACTGTATCATAAAGTATGATTGTTAACATTATCACGAACCATACTGTATCGTAAAGTATGATTGTTAACACTATCACGAACCATACTGTATCATTAAGTATGATTGTTAACACTATCACGAACCATACTGTATCATTAAGTATGATTGTTAACACTATCACGAACCATACTGTATCATAAAGTATGATTGTTAACACTATCATGAACCATACTGTATCATTAAGTATGATTGTTAACACTATCACGAACCATACTGTATCATAAAGTATGATTGATGGATAAATATCACATTTTGATAAAGCATGATTGTTAAGATAATCCCCTCACTAAATATTACTATCATTATTATTAGAACAAAATGGTATTACCAAAAAAAAAAGACGTGGGTAGGTATTCCACATGGAACCTAGTTTTAATTATCTTATTGATTGAATTTATCAATCTTATTCATCGCATGGTTTCCTTCTTTAATGGAATTGTGAATCTATTATTGTGCATTCCTCACAGAGTTGGATCAACATGCTTAATTATAAACTACCAGAGGAGTGATAGACGATTCTCTGTTTTCTATTTTAACTACTATTGGTTTTTTGATAGATTATGATATTTTGGAAGTATCCTGAAGGAAAGGGTATCTAAACATCTCTATGTCCACAGATTATTCAAGAATTCTAGAAGTCTGTTTATAAAAAACAAACTTCATCGCTATTTTCAGAAGTTGAAATGTTATATCTGAACAGGTGATGTTTGTTAAAATATACCTGGCAAACTCTATACATACGTAAAATTGGCAAGGGATCCAAACTTAAATATTTCACCTATTTAATGTATACATGTTGAAGTTGGCCATTACTATGTAAAAAAGTAAGATTTGTATGACGATCAGCCCCCTTTTAGAAGCATTTATTAACATACTTATATCTATAGTCCTCCACAACAGCTGACTTTTGACACCAGCTATAATCGCAATTGGTGAAAAAATGGCCGAAAGAAATCCTTTTCTCCACATATCGGGTGTCTAACATACAATATTGTTGCTTATAACCAGGAAAGTATTTGATTCAACTTACCTTGGAAAAGAAAGAAGACAAATGATACGCTTTTAGTTATTATCAAATTGATTATCCTACAAGATAAAACCATGAATGACAAATAACCCCAATTAGTTCTTGGTCTCTAAAATCAATACATATATTTATTTAATGAAAATGACTGCCCAAGGATATGATAAACAAAAAGTTATTAGATTTACATCGATTGACAGGTTAAGCTGTATTCATTAACTTAGATATTTCCCTAAATCTGCTTATTATCAATTTCAATATGCTTCATAATGTCTATATTTTTAATCTAGTGAAAGATAATTATCAAAATAGTCATTAATATATTTTGACAGGTATAATTACAGATGAAAAGGCAGGTGAACATGACAAAATGAAGCAATAAGCTAGTCAAGCCAGACCAATTTATCATTTCATAAAAAGAAATAATGTTAATGCAATAAATTTCAATAAACTCTAAAGGTTATTATATTACTCAATAATTTAACTGTATATATAAATATAATTATCAATGGAGATATCCACACTTCGACACTTTCAAGTTTTATTGGAACTAAATGAAACAAGATTTTAGTTCATACTTGTGAAATGAATTAATATTTTAAAAATGTCTATTACAACATGACACTATTCATATTTATGCTGCATACAATCTTGACAATATTTATGTATGATTCATTTGGTACTTCATAAAGCATGATTGCAAATACAGCATGATTGAGACAAGCATTGATATACTAATAATTGCAATGAGAAGTTAATTTGCATGATGTCTTGCTAAGATGTAATCTGCGGTGTGATAAGTTAGAATGTATGTCGATTTTGAGCTGTAGATTATTGTCGTTATAGGTGGTAAATTATATGGCATGATTGAAGTGATAAACTGTTCTCTGTCACTTACATGATGACTTTGCAGCAACTTTTACAGCGACAAATGTTTTTGACGGTAAAATGATTCATCAATCAATCAGATAGTCCAATCAAGAGGGTGTAAATCACATATAGGACATATTTCATGTGGTATCCACACTTAAACTTATCAATAATAATTTTTTGCTCTGAAAATGTTTCACAAACAATATTTCATTAGATTTCATTTTTTTTATTGATTATTGTGTCATGTTGAGCTTTTGATAGAATAGAATATATTTTCAATTTTTTTTATCATATTGAATTTTCAACATGTCAAAGAAAATTTACAACACTCATTAATTAAAAATATCAAGGGAAATTATGACGAAAATTGAGTGGAACTTTCATTTTTTTTGCCTCATAATTTATTCATAAAAACTTATCGTATTACTTCCCACATGTGTTAAGAAGATAGATTGGAACATCAGGGCAGTTGATATCGAGATACATGCATAAAGATTACATTTCCAATGTTATGATAACGCTTGATTATAATATCAATAATATGTAATATTGTCTAGATTAAAAATATTAAATTGTGTTCTCTTTTCAATTGTTTAAATATGAATTTGACATAGTAACATCAATATTGAACTTTATCATTTCAATGTTTATGTGATTGTGTGATCTGCAATATGGTGGATGTCACACGTTAACTTAATGAATCTGTTTTAGAGGGGTCTATTTTCAGAGCATCATCAACTATAAATGGTCTGACTAAAGAAATAACAAGATTAAGAGAAGACATTCAAGTTAAGAAAGGTCAAACTTGTGGAGTAATTATATTATTAAAGGGTAAAATGGTCGTCTCGAGAATTAGATTTTCCTCTTATAACAGCACATTATCAGACTGGTAGTGAGATCCCAATTAGTTACTCTGTCACATAGTTTCAACTTATCTCTTTCACAGCCTCTCACTGTATGATAACTATAAGAGGTTTTACTCGCCAAACTACGTTACACAAATGAAACCAATTCGACAGAATCTAAAGAGAGTGGCTAGCTAATTACCATTTATAATAAATCAGTTTAAATCTTTCACACTTCTTTCTTGTCAAGACAGTCTTCCGTGTTATTGAATAAGATGTGTTATTTTTGTGAAAGAGGGAAATTGATGACATTTTAGATACGTTACTCCTACTGGATCACCGATTCTT